AGACACAGTATCCCCACTTATAGTCACCATCATCCTTTGCAGAACCTAAATCTCATCACGATCTGCCTAAAAATTAAAAAAAACTTGGTCTCTCGCCGCTCTCCCACGTCGTGTACTTACATTTTCAAGGAGTCACATATCTTGTGCCGATCTTTGTGTTGGCCGGCCCCTGTCCCTCCATCCTGGTACCATGCCTTCTGCTAATATTATTTCTAATCCGCTGTGGAGTTCGATATGACCAAAATATTTCAGCTTCCGAGACGAGATGCTGTTAATTAGCCCTGATGTTCAGATATTTGAAAATATCAGTATTTCTTCTCTTCTTTGTCCATGATATTCTGATAATCTTTCTATAGCATTTAAGCTCAAAAGCACCAATTTTCTTTCTCAACAGCGCATAGTTTCTCTATAGTCACTACAGCCTATTTTTGTTTTGTTTTGTTTATCACTCATATCGTAATCTTTAATTTAAAAAAAACAACACCACAACAACAACAACAACAACAAAAAAAGGACACCAAACAACAAATTGATAAAGTAACCAGGAAAAGTAGCAAACATACTCAACGCTGTTGAAATCCGATACACAACTGTCGAAGTGAAGACAGTTAGTTAACAAGGTGGGGGAAATCTGATACACAACTGTCGAAGTGAAGACAGTTAACAAGGTGGGGGAAATCTGATACACAACAGTCGAAGTGAAGACAGTTAACAAGGTGGGGGAAATCTGATACACAACAGTCGAAGTGAAGACAGTTAGTTAACAAGGTGGGGGAAATCTGATACACAACTGTCGAAGTGAAGACAGTTAACAAGGTGGGGGAAATCTGATACACAACAGTCGAAGTGAAGACAGTTAACAAGGTGGGGGAAATCTGATACACAACAGTCGAAGTGAAGACAGTTAGTTAACAAGGTGGGGGAAATCTGATACACAACAGTCGAAGTGAAGACAGTTAACAAGGTGGGAGAAATCTGATACACAACAGTCGAAGTGAAGACAGTAAACAAACAAGGTGGGAGAAATCTGATACACAACAGTCGAAGTGAAGACAGTTAACAAACAAGGTGGGAGAAATCTGATACACAACAGTCGAAGTGAAGACAAAGTTAACAAACAAGGTGGGAGAAATCCACATTTTGATATCTCAAATTGTGTTACGCACACATGACGCACACTTGCAATGACTTGCCCAAGTAAATTATTCCTTATTTCGTTACTGAGAATTATTATTTTCTTAAACTAGACCGGATAAACTGGAAACTGGATAATCATGAGCTTTGATGTGTTTAAAATTGAGTGATTACTGATTTTTCCGAGTTTTTTAAAAGCTCTAGGTTTTTCTGATTTTCTAATTAATCAAGGTTCTTATTAGACTGCAGTGTAATGAAGCCTTTCTTAGGAAACTAAGGTGAAAGCTTGCCCTTTATGTCCACTGTAATAGTTTACATAGAAGAGAGGTAAAGAGTAAAGATGGGGAGGTCATGAGGTGATCTGCATGCAATATCGAAGGATAAGATGGCTTGTGAGTTTGTTGAGGGCCTATGCTCCATTGGGAGATAAAGCGGAGAAGAAATACCAGAACACAACTTTTCCTTTGTGACGATTAGGTTTCAACCAACCATCTATTACCACTGTATCCATCTACTGTCCCTTAACACCAGTTGTTGTTGTTGTTGGGTAGCCGAGCTGCTGCTGACTGATCAGGTTTTCTACACATCTAATTCAATATTTTTGTGCCTAAGGCCCCGTCTTATCCAGAATCCGGATCTGGTCTTCTCTGGCCTGCCCCCCCACAAGATACAAAAATTATACGAGACTCATTGAGTACCAAGCAACTCATCATAATGTTAGTTGCGTATCTTTTACAGGACGTTGCCCCAGCATTTTTTGGGGCTGTTTTATTTTTCTAGGCAAATTTACGTCCAGTACTTTGCCACTGCCTTCTTGACGGTCGGCTCTCAGTACCCATGACGAAACCAATGCAAGAAAAACCGGCCATAGCTGGGATCGAACCCGACACTTCAAGCCACAGACGTTGACTAACTCATTATAAGCTGCTCTTTTATTATTCGCCAACAGTTTCCTCTTTCTGTGCTCCCCACCCTCTGCTGAAACATAGACAGTCAAACATTTCCCACTGGCCATCCAAGTTGTAGTCATTTTAAAATAGCTTTCCAGTTAAACCTATCTGGGCTGAATGTTGAATTAAGAATCAACATCACAGCACTTGGGACACACCCATAAGCGCTCCGTCCCCATCTTCAGCACCTATCTGGGTTTGAATTGGAAATATAGAGTTTGTAGACCATATCCTTAGTTATACCTGCAGCCCATCTTCCACCTTTCCAACAAAGTCATTTTCTTCTTCATCTGTTTTTTCAAGCCTTCTATTTCTACTACCTTAGATGATTGAGTGAAATGACTTTCTCCAAATATTATTACTAGTGTTTTTTTTTTTTTAAAAGTGTGTCCCTACCACTGGCAGCATCTTTTCCTCACCTCTTAATATGCTGAAACCGAATCCTCCACCTAACCTCCATATTGGTGATTTGTACTATTCTAGCAGTTCTACTCTACGCTGTCAGAACACTATTAGCGTTTACTGATTATTATGGGGTCTCCGTGGCGATGTGGTCAAGCGGTTATCTTCGCATTCTGAAGGTTGTGGTTTCATTCCACGGCTGTGCCCTTCAGTTCCCGAGTGCAATTTTTATGGGGGTTGTTGCCGGAGCTAAGGAGTTCAAGCTCTTCGCAGTCCTATCAGCAGGGGGCTAGTCGTTCTGCGGAGAGAGATAGGGCCATATGGGAAAAACCTGGTGTAATGAAGTCAATCCTCCCAACTTTAACTTTATCCTTTTCACTTATTATTAGACCATTAGTTTACTTGATGCGTGTTTGCTAATAATGCTGCCTGGGACTTAAAGAGGTACATCATTACGTGCTTTGAAAATGCTAACACTTTTTTGCAGGGTGTGTCTGGACCCTAGGTTTAAAAACAAACAAAAGCACATCTGTAATGGAAGCAGCTCAGCCAGTTCTTGATATGGCTTCCTATGCTTCAACTCTCTTCAAAATCAATCACCTGCACTTTGTTTGAGGTGTGCAGAAGACCCCTGGTACCTTCTCATACATAACTTTCACTTAACCTCAACAAACAACTGATTATCTAATGTTCACATCAGAGCTTTCCAAACTGTGTGTTGTGACACTTTAGCATCAGGTGCAGTGTGAAGCAGTGCCGTGCCGTGTGAACATACACCGTTGAATAATCTGTATGTAAGGCTGCAGTTATCTGTGTTTTATTACCATAATACATTAAAAAAAGCAATGACATTATTCTTGGAAATATTAAAAAATTTTCAAAGGTTTCCACGAGAAAACCTGTGCTGTGAAACACTTAGTTATTAAAATTTATGTTAATTTATGTAAGTCTTCATATCTCTTATAAGCGGTTAGTCCACCCTCTGATTTGCTAGTAGATTTAATTACTGTGTCACCCAAACAAAAAAAATGAGGGTTCCAAATGAAATTTTTTTTAAAGTCTGGCAGAAATTGTCTGAAGTTTCTTCTTCTTCTTTGTTCAACACTTCAAGCTGTGGTGGAAAGTCCTGGCTTTTCGTCTTTTTGGACTTTGGCTTTGTGCCAGGGCCTGAGTGTTGCGCGTACATTTATTTTACTGGCTTATTGGTGTGCAGTTGGTTATTCCTTGCTGGTCAGGCAGATGCCCTCCAACTGCTAAGGAAGCTCCCTACTAGGTCACTCCTATGACATGCTTGTTGGGGAGGCAAGGGGTCTATTCTTGTTTTCCCCACAAAGGGGGTCCCGGAACCCAACATGTGGAAAATAAAGTTTCAAATTGTCATGCCTTGTGTGAGCGAATATTCCCCCCCAGAACACAGGATGATGATCCCAAAATTGATACTTAAACTGCTGGACTGACGTGCAAGCATCACAATAATGGATCTTAATTTGCGATAAATGGGTTTCACTCCTTCAATGATTAAAAAAACGAAACTGGATAATTCAAATGCTACTCCTCCCTTTAGGTGCATGTAAACTGGGTGTGGCCCATCTTTAAACTGTCATTATGATGTTACCATGTTTGCCTGCACCCTGAGGTCACACGCCTATCACTCTTGACATCCTTAACAAGACAAAGGCATGGTTAGTGTAATTTCTATCACACTTTTAAGTTTTGAACGCCCTTCTACACAGTGCGTCAACAACAGGAAAAGTTTGGAAAGCTCTGACTTAGATAAATGCTAACATTCCATGATTTCACTGCACATTTACACTTTATTTCTTAAAAAAAAAAAAAATCATGCACAAAAATGTAATACTTATAAGAAAACAACAAGAAATCAAATATAAACATAACAAAGAAGTTAAAGCCATGCTGTACTTCATGGCCAAGGAATAAAACAACAGCTGGGAAGGCGTTATTGCCTCGATCAAAGCAGAAAATGGTTCAAATCCACCAGGGTCACTTGAAAAAACACCATTAATGTTTGTAGGCAGCTCAGGTGGACAGTTTTGTGCCTGGCCTGTCATTACCAGCCAATCCCCTTAACAATCTTCATCAACGTAGCGGGGATTGAGAACAAGAATGCATCATATAAATGCTTCAGTTATGGCCTGCATTGTTTTGTTTTTTAAACACAGACCCCAAAAATATCCACAGCAGCGGCGGGGGAGGGGGGGGGGGGGGGGGGGGGGGGGGGGGGGGGGGTTCTATAAATGGCCATAGGAGCAGGTAAAGAATGTGACAGATTCACATTTGTAAATTTAACACAATTGTCTTCACAGAGCTGCCAATGATGTCTTTACAAAATCCCCTTTTCAAACTTTAAAAAAAAAAAAAAAAAAAAAAAAAAAAACGCCTGGTTTTTCCTAGTAGATCCATGATTGCTGGAGCTTGATCTTGTGTTGACTGATTTAGCAATTTCTTCATGACCCTTCTAGGCCTCTCTAAAAAGGAACGATACAATGATTCTGTTCAGTTTCCCTCCAGTTCATCCACAGTCATCACTTGGTTGCCCTTGGCCGGCAGCGGAGGCATGCTGGGCAGCTGGTTCTTGAGGATGTCCGGGCTGAACCACCGCTGGATGCCACTGTTCACGTCCACCTTTGGTCCACCGGTTCCGTTGGGGGTAGTTGATGCCAGCGGCCCATCTGGTGGAAAAACACATCAGAAGCTATTTAATTTGGTGCTGTATTCAGTCAACATCTTCTTCATCTTCTTCAACTGCCTGTATAATTCTTCTAGTACCAGAGTGCAGTTAAATTAGTTATAAGTCAACGTACGGTGAGTCCCCTGGTAACAAAAGAGTTATAAGGGCAGCTGACACACTGTAATTAAGTTAGTTGTGTATCCTTTACAGGGCATTGCAGAACCAACGCCAGAATTTTTTGGCTGTTGTGGTTTTACTAGGCAAATTAAAGTCTAGTAGATTGTCACTCCTTTCTGGACGGTTGGCTTCTCGATACCACTGTCGAAACTAACACAAGGCTCACAGCTGGGATCGAACCCGGCACTACAAAGCCCAATCGCAACGCCCAAGCCACAGATGCCGACTGTAGTACAGGGCCCTTTTCCACGTTTAGGCACATTGGGCTAGACCTATATTATATAGACCGATCGGTACTCAGTGGGTGATGCGGTCGACATCAAGCCAGCCCAGGACTTTACCTGGTACCTTGGGTCGACATCAAGTCAGCCCAGGACTTTACCTGGTACCTTGGGTCAACATCAAGTCAGCCCAGGACTTTACCTGGTACCTTGGGTCAACATCAAGTCATCCCAGGACTTTTACCTGGTACCTTGGGTCAACATCAAGCCATCCCAGGACTTTACCTGGTACCTTGTGTCAACATCAAGCCAGCCCAGGACTTTACCTGGTACCTTGGGTCAACATCAAGCCAGCCCAGGATTTTACCTGGTACCTTGGGTCGACATCAAGCCATCCCAGGACTTTTACCTGGTACCTTGGGTCGACATCAAGCCATCCCAGGACTTTTACCTGGTACCTTGGGTCAACATCAAGTCATCCCAGGACTTTACCTGGTACCTTGGGTCGACATCAAGCTAGCCCAGGACTTTACCTGGTACCTTGGGTGGATATCATGTCAGCCCAGGACTTTACCTGGTACCTTGGGTCGAACTGAAAGCCAAGATCTTTTTGAAAGAAAAAAAAGTCCGGCTCCATCAGGACCTGAACTTAAGGTCTTCAATCTGCAGGCGAGCATCTAGCTGCTACACCACGGCGGCTACTGTGGTGGGACAATAATCACCCTAGGTGGGTATTGCAGAGAATGGAGCTGAAATAAGGGTCCCTTCTTCAGTAACTCTTTAAGCACCAGAAGACAGTTAAATCAGTTATAAATCAACATCTGATTCTTCTCTTGGTACCAAAAGAGTTACTAGTATGTCTGACATAATGTGTTGAGGCAATAATCCTCCTTGACCGGTGACACAGAATGGAGCCAAAAAGCCACTGATGCTGAAATAAGGAACATCATTCAGCAGTACATGCAACTACTTAATGTGGTAAAATGGAAAAGTTGTTTGCCTCACACTCTGAAGGCCGTGAGTTTGTTTCCTGAATGCATTGTTCAGTTCACGAGTGCTGTCTTTACGGAGATCCCTGGGGATCGGTGACAGAGCTAGCCATTCTGCAGTCAGAGACCAAGCCACAGGAGATCAAATCTGATGCAATGAAGTTGATCCTCTCAGCTTTTGGCGTTAACATTTAACTTGACGTCCTCATTTATGTGGACGGCTCCGTGATTTTAAGGGCAGGCATTCATAGTTGTGTCTCTCAGCTTTTGGCTTTAACCCTTTGGAGACGGTGCAGCCGAAATGCACTGAAGCCAAAATGACGACCGGGCCAATCGGTTGGCTCTATTTAATACAAACCTTGAGATTGGCTGGCTGGTTTTCATACCAGCCTATCAAACTGCTTCTCACATTTCTTGCACATGTGGGCTGTTCACTGGCGGCTTTCGAGAAAGTTTGATGTGTTGGGTAATTTTACATCAATTTGTTTCTAGGGTTGCCTGTGCCCAACAATGGCTAAAAAGACTGTTGCTTCATGGCAACCAAAATATAGCTGTATGTGCCAAAAATGTCTGAAGGGCCATCAAGGGCCTTACATCCCAAAACTCAAGTGTTAGGACTTATTCAAGCTTCATCCATCAAAAAATTCACCCAAATTCTTCAGGTGTATCATGTTTGTTCCCAAGTTAAGAAAAGAACGATTGCATAAATTATGCAGATCAGAATAGTTAATTTGAATAAATGTTGTGATATCAGTTTGATTCATAAAATATTGTGTTACCTCATTCAATTTCCTACACGAATATGTATAGTTGTGTATATGTTAATTAAATTCATTATTTTTTATAATTTGTGTGTGTGTATAAACTATGAGAATTCCCTCCTAAAGGTTCGTCTTTTTGGCACTGAATTTCCATAAAAGCTCTGTCTCCAGGGGGTTAACTTGTAACGTTATGTCATCATCTAAACAGACAGCTCACTGATTTGTAGGGCAGGCATACAGAGAGTAGGTGAATGGAAAGACAATAAGTGAAGAAAGTCAAGCACTCAGTTCAGCTACTTTTACAGCTTGATAATGGAGACAGCAGCTGTCACACGGCACTTGCACGACTGGCCGGAACAGAAAGCAACTAAATCTACTGCTAGTTACAGACTCAATGAGCATGCTAAAGAAACTATCACAGCTATACACACTGGGAAATGCTAGGTTGAAAGAAAATCAAACAGCGTATACACTGGTTTGAAAGGAAATTAAAGAGCGTACAGACTGGCCATGTCTGCAGTAAATATTGGAGGAAGAAGCAAGTATATGGTAGCCATTCTGAGTGTGTTGCATTCCAGAGATGTTAAGACAAAGGAGTCAATCAATGAACCATCTGCAGGAAATGGGTATTAAACGAGGGCAGGAATGCAGAAACCGGTTGAGGGGCACAGAAAGGCGGTAGGTAGGTGTTTTGCTAAAGAAGAAACAATTAGTCACGTTCAACCGGCATCCCTGATGATGGAGCCTTAGGTTATAATTGTGACTAGGTTATGTGCACCATATAGAATGGCTGAGCGCTGCACTCCACCAACAGCCCTGAAAAGGACTCCTGCAGTGTTTATGCGAACCAAGGAGACAGACCCAAACACTGATCCGACCGGCGATTATCTACCGGTGAGCCAAAGGGGGACCTGCTCGCAGATGGGTAAGAAAGAAGATATACCCACTGTTGATGCCAATCAACTATTACTGGGTACAGTGGGCATGGAGAAACTGAAATGGCTTCTGCATCAGAGAACTAAGCATGAATGGGTCAGGCGGATGTGCTACAATGTCGATACGGGTAACAATTAAAAAGCTGCTACACTGTATTGTAGTTTACAAGTAGGCTGTGATATCTGTGTCTTGTGATGCAACACATCCAATTTCCTCAAACACTTAGTTACTTTTGTGGGACACGCTTGTTAGGGGACAGTGAAAAGACGGATTCACAGAATGTCACAGATTCATTAAAAGTCAGATTTTTTAAAAAAAGTCGTGATTCACTGAAAGTCAGATTCATAAAAAGTCAGATTCACAGCAGAATCAGATTTCCTTTTTTTTTAAAAGTCACATCCCTATCTGGGTTCCAGGGCCCCATTTATAGAATAAAGAACAGACCCACCGCCTCCAACAAGCATGTCCCAAAAGGCAACTAATTATGGTTGTTTCCCTTTTAGATTCCACTGTCTCTGCCTAGAGGTGAGAAACCAACAGCGTGTTTATAAATATGCCAGATCTGTTAAATTGTTATGCATAGGAAAACTTGAGATCTGGAACAAAACCAAAGATTAGCAACCAGAGTTTCCAGCCGGTGAACGCGAAGAAAAAAAGTCCCAGATTCTAAGAAAAATTACAGACTCTGCAAGATACTTACTCATTTTCAGAGCTCCATGAGGTGATGCCACTCTCTGAATAGTAGCATTCAAAGCTGCCGGAGACAAGGGCCCTGAGGCCTGACCCCTGGGGCTCAGTGGGGCTGAAACTCCTGGCGCCACCATGTGCAGAGAGGGTAGTGGCGCCATGCTGTGATGCTGGTGAACCTGCTGTCTGGCCATGAACTGTGAGATCTGTCGGTTGTGCTGGGCACTCAGGGCATTAGCTGGAATAATCAATCAAACCAAGGATCTGATGACATCTAATATTCTCATTTTGATGTGTGCAACAATCTTCTGTCTCTGCCCCTGGAATGCCTCGTGGCATCAGGGTAGGAAGAGATCTCTGGAATGGGCCCTTCTGTTCTCTGCAACTGGAATGCCTCGTGGCACCTTCTGCGGTCCATCTTCTGCGTGGTCAATCTCTGGCGTGTTTTGTGTACCCCAAAAAAAAAAAAAACCCAACAACAACAACAAAACCACACAAAAAAACCTGCATCTATAAATAAATAAAGTTTGTGTGTATGTGTGTTTACATACACTCACACATATGTTTGTCACATCTGTGGCTTAGGTGTTGCAAATGCACTACATGATGTCAGGGCGACGGGTTCAATCCTTGCAGCAGGTGATTTGGCAGCAGACTGTCTAGTGTTGGTTTCAACAGTGGAACTGAGTGTGACCGTTCAGAAAGCAAAGGCAAACTACTGAGAGCAAATCTGACTAGAAAAACCACAACAGCTCAAAAATGCTAGGGCTGGTTCTGTAATGGATACATAACAAACATGCGAGCAAAATAATGTCAGGGTGACGGGTTCGATCCCATCGCGCACGCACACAGAGAGAGATAGAGAGAGACAGTAAAACCTTGTTGACAGTTAACACAAATTCTGCAAATTTCGAACGATTGAATATAAAGTTCATGTTAAAAAATATGTGCTAACCTGGGACCCAATACCCGTGTGTGCATGTGTGTGAGAGAGAGAGAGCATGTGTGTGAGAGAGAGAGAGGGAGAGAATCCACCCACACACACTTCTAATGATGAGTATATATAATCTAATATTAATATCTAATGATTATAAGAAGATGACATCTGTTAACGAGAAGAAAAAAACTGAACTTTTCTAATAATAATTACAGTTACATCCACTATTCTAATAACAGATTATATAGATGCTTCCCAAAACTCCCATAATGCCACCTCACTTCCCTCAGTCTTGTCTTAAATCAAACCACTCACCTCTAGCCATCTGCTGGTGCAGCAGCCCTGGGTTAGTCCCAGTCGGCATGGGTCCCCCGACAACTGGAATGCAAGCTGATACCGGGACAGTGCCTGGTGGCGGGCCCAGGCAGGAAATGGGAGTGCGTATGGGTGGAGGTGGCAGCACCATGCTCTGGGAGTGGGGCTAGAAAGGTGAAGAAGACGGAGAAGAACAGAGACATTTAATCTAATAAAACTATACAACCAAAACAATTCTGTAAGAAGAAAAAATGTTAGTTTTTTTACATTTATTTCACAACTATTAATTTATGGTTATATAATGTCAGTCATGTATGCGGACCTCTAAATTAAACAGTTTTAAAACCAAGTTACTAAAACTGAATTCTGATGTTATTTTATTCAAGTTTTAACATATGCCAATGAAGCATCATGAGAGCTAATAGACTGAAATGGTTGGGGCATATTGAAAGAATGTCAGATGACAGAGAAGTAAAAACTGTATACACGAGGGCAATGAATGGTCGTAGACCATGAAGATGATGGAGAGATAATGTCCAGGCAGACCTGCAAACACTTGGTGTCACCAACTGGAAAGAAAAAGCCAACCAGAGAGATGAATGGAGGCGGGGGATTTCTGCAGCAATGAACTTCAAGGGCTCGGAACGCTGAAGAAGAGAAGAAGAAGAAGATATCCCATTGAAGGTTGAAGAGCCACTAAAGACATGGGACAAAAGTGAAATGCAATGGAAAACATGGAACAAAAGTGAAATGCAATGGAAAACATGGGACAAAAGTGAAATGCAATGGAAAACATGGGACAAAAGTGAAATGCAATGGAAAACATGGGACAAAAGTGAAATGCAATGGAAAACATGGGACAAAAATGAAATGCAATGGAAAACAAATGCCTGAGGAACATGATAAACATTAAATGGGATGAATTCAATTAGTTGAGAAACAAGAAAACTGTTCTGGTAACAACAGTTATAATACAAAGAAGGCGCTATATTGGATATCTTTTCTGAGAAGAGACAAAACAGGAAATAACCCCCCAAAAAATGTAAAACAGCGGGATTGAGGAATTGATGATGTTGATGAGAGAAACTAAAAGTGGTGGACTGCACTCCATCCATAAACTGTTGTGAATGCATGGAATAGATTGGAATGGTGAAAAAGTCTGAGTGTCCTATGTGAGATATATTGGTCAACAGAACAATGAATGAATGAATAATGGATGTGCACGCTACCCTCAGGTTCTGGAGTAAGTCCAGAGGTGGATGAACACCCAGAGCTTTCCGCCAGAGTTAACAGCTGGTGAACGCAAAGAAGAAGAAAAAGAAGAAAACTAACGTCTTTGGAAATCACCATGCCACGCCAAGGTACCTCTACTGATTGTTCCAAAGTGAAGTTGGTTACAGCATCTCCTGCCTTTACCTCAAGGACGACATTGCCATGCTTCACCAAGCTTAACTCCTCGGTCATACAGCTGTGTCAGTATCAGATAAATGAATGTCATGTTTAATGGATACATGGTGCTAGTTCCACATTCAGAAACCAGTCGATGGGTCAGGTGTTCTCTATCATGCAGGCCTAATTAACTTCTCATTCATCTCAGAACATTTCCTGGTTTTCAATGCTCCTGGTTCAAAGTTTATTACTGAGACTTTAATAATTTATATGAATCTTCTTTAAAGACTTTGATAAAGATCAACTTATTATACTGGTCAAAATTACAGTCAAAAGAAAGGGAGAAATAAAGTCTTCAATAAAGAGCAACTTACTATACTGGTCACAATTACAATAAAATGAAGTTGAAGAAGAAAAATCTCAAATAAAAAAAATTAAAAATTAAAAAAAGATTCACTCACTATCTGCTGCAGCCTCTGCAGGTCCATCAACCGCAGCATGTCAATGTTCTGTGGATGCACCATGGAAGGCACCTGGGACTGTTGTTGCTGGGCTGAGTTGCCTCCTACAATAGCCCGACCACCTGTGGGTTTACTCAGGGAGCTCTGCTGCATGCTGGAGAGCTGGGAAAGGTTGGCCTGTACCATTGGGACGCCAGCAAAGGAAGGCTGTACCTTGGGGCTACCTCCTGTGACTGGTCTCCCGCTTTGAAGTACCGAAAGTGGTGGTGGTGGTTGTTGTTGTTGTTGCTGCTGCTGCTGCTGCTGCTGATGCAAGGCAAACAAATGTTGCTGTAGGGCCCTGTCATCTGTGGTTGTCTGAATCGGTTCTTGAGCTGTGTGAAATCATTACACACGTTATTGAAAGTACATCGAAGGCTCAAGATGTTTAACTCATCAAGTAGATATGCAGACGTATATATACATCATAGCCAGGTGCGCTCACAGTGCATACCACAGATACATCCATCCAATTCTTACTTACTTACTTTCTAACTTACTTACCAAGTCTGTCCTCTTCTATCTTGGGGTGTAGAGGTTTGCCAGAGAGATTGCCAGATCTCTCTGTCAGAAGTTTTCTTTCTGGCTTTGTTACCTTTGAGTCCTTTGTCTCGGATGTTTTCTCAGTGGACCCTGGGTGGCGATGATGGTCTGGCTCCCTGGTTCTTGTCCTCCACTTGCTGCATGGTGGCCGATTTTCTCCCATTCTGCATACATGACCAGACCATCGTAACTGTGACTGAACCACATGATTTTGTAAGGCCTGGGTTTCAAGATTCTGACGTATTGTCTGACTGCAAACTTGGTCCCTTCTTGTCACTTAAACCACCTTTCTCAGGTATCTTATTTCTGAGACCTGAAGCTGGCTTCTGAGAGCTGTAGTCACTGTCAATGATTAACACCCGTAGGTCACGACTGGCAGATAGGCAAAGCGGCTGACTGCTATTTTTGTCCTTTTGCCTATTTCTCCTTGCTACCAGGACTTTCTATAACCAATATCTAGTGAGTATGATGAATTACATGCTTGCGACTTGCGCTGTTTTGTTTATTCTGCAGCACCATTTGGCCAGTCTCTGCACTCACGACTCATGATCTGCTTTGTGCAGAGTGGCAAGCATCCCTTCAGAGGTCCTAGGTAGTTAGCATCCTTCAGATATTTTCTCCAAGTCATGCCGGTTTGTTGGGAAATGAGCAGGCAAATAGACTGGCTGGCTCTGCACCACATGGTATGATGTATGATAAGTCAGACATTAAGAGGGTCCTTAGGAACAGGTGAACAGTGCAGAGGTGCAGATAGATCACTACAGTCTGGGGAAAATGGCCCTGCGAGTTACCAGGGGAACGATGAGACGGACATACAATCAGACCGCTACTGGTACCATCACAATTGGGACTCTCTGCTTGCTGCAGAAGATGGGAACTGAGCACTCATGGTAGCGATCCGAGTGCTGTGATGTCAATTCTTAATTCAAAATTTCAACTGTTGTGTTTGTTGGGAGTCTTTTCCAAATCTTCAGTAGATACAGAGTATTTCAGTCATTGATTTCTCTAGGTCAGCACACTGCCTACTGGAGTCCATCCTTTTTGCTTGCTACATAATTATCTTTGCTACTAAAGTGAGCATTTTTCTCTTATGGTGAGCAGTTCTAACTACAGTAAGTGCTTTCTATTGGAGTATGTTTATTGCTGCAGTAAGTATTTCACATTACAGGTAATGTTTCTTACTATTGTGAACTTTATCCAGAATAATTTCTTGTTTTATTCAATCTAAAATGGCTCAAAACAGCAAAAGATGGAAGATCTATAAATACAGCAACCCTTTTGCAATGTGAATGCTAAAAAAAAAAAAAGGGGGGGTCATGAATTGGTAGGAATTTCCAGAAAAAAATCCTTTAAAAATATTCTTTAATTTTTTGTTGTTGGTGGTGGGGGGGGGGGGGGGGGGGGGGGGGGGGGGAAGGAATATAAAAATACATAAAAGGGGTAATCAATAAACACAAGCAGACTGAAAGACTAAAGGGAATACACTTCCCCTGGTGTAAAAAAGGAAAAAATACACCATGTGACTCATGCAGTGACCTTGTGACCTTTACCACTGAGGCTTACAGGGGTAATCTGCCATCAATGTGATGTCTATTGTGACTGTTCATGTCTACTGTGACTGTTCACGTCTATTGTGACTGTTCACGTCTATTGTGACTGTTCACGTCTATTGTGACTGTTCATGTCTATTGTGACTGTTTATGTCTATTGTGACTGTTTATGTCTATTGTGACTTCATGTCTATTGTGACTGTTCATGTCTATTGTGACTGTTCATGTCTATTGTGACTGTTCATGTCTATTGTGACTGTTCATGTCTATTGTGACTGTTCGTGTCTATTGTGACTGTTCACGTCTATTGTGACTGTTCATGTCTATTGTGACTGTTCATGTCTATTGTGACTGTTCATGTCTATTGTGACTGTTCATGTCTATTGTGACTGTTCATGTCTATTGTGACTGTTCATGTCTATTGTGACTGTTCATGTCTATTGTGACTGTTCATGTCTATTGTGACTTCATGTCTATTGTGACTGTTCACAGTCTATTGTCTATTGTGACTGTTCATGACTGTTCTATTGTCTATATTGTGACTGTTCATGTCTATTGTGACTGTTCATGTTATTGTGACTGTTCATGTCTATTGTGACTGTTGTCTATTGTGACATGTCTATTGTGACTGTTCTGTTCATGTCTATTGTGACTGTTCATGTCTATTGTGACTGTTCATGTCTATTGTGACTGTTCATGTCTATTGTGACTGTTCATGTCTATTGTGACTGTTCATGTCTATTGTGACTGTTCATGTCTATTGTGACTTCATGTCTATTGTGACTGTTCATGTCCATTGTGACTGTTCATGTCTACTGTGACTGTTCATGTCTACTGTGACTGTTCACGTCTATTATGACTTCACGTCTATTGTGACTGTTCACGTCTATTGTTACTTCATGTCTATTGTGACTGTTCATGTCTATTGTGACTGTTCATGTCTTCACCTTTAACAATTGGTCTCCCCTGGCCTGCCCTGGCAATCTCAGCTGCGGCTGCTGCTCTGGCAGACTTGTCCAGAATCTGGGACAGGAAGCCCGGCTTCTCCGCCAGTGCTGAAAGTTTCATCTGCAACAGAAAATGGGAGCACATAAGGAACTTCACAAGTACGAGAAGATGTAGGTCAGAGAGGAAGTGTCTCCGTGGTGACATGGTTAAGCTGTCAGCTTACTGCTCTGAAGGTTGTGGGTTCGATTTTTAGACTCAGTCCTTCGGTTTGTGAATGCGGGTGTCAATGGAGGTTGTGACTGGAGCTACACGATTTTGTGCTTCGTGTGACTGATACCTCAGTTGGTAAAAAACTAGTCTGCTTAAAGAGACTGAGGCATATGGGATAAAACCTAGAGCAGTGTTTCTTATCTGGTGGTCAGGCGAGCATCCATAGGAAAAGTTTAAATGGTCTGTGATATCAGTTACATTTTTTAAAAAACAACCTAATTTTAGAATGCAATCCTATTTCCAATTCTAATATTTAAAAATTATAATAAGTACAAGTTCTTTTGTGTGGCGATTACAAAGTATAGATTCGGTCGCAGACATCTGAAAATAGGAGTAGACTTCTGTGTATGGATTCTACACCCCCCACTTGGCTAGAGAGAAATCAGAGATGCCCCTTTACTCTACCAAGTTTATGGTAAATGGCAACTAATTAGGATGTTTTCCTCTGAAGTGAGTGTACATCTAGCTGAGGGGCCAGGAATCAACAGTCTCCCCACAAATAATAAGTCAGTAAAACAGATGTGTATGCACACCTCAACTGCTGTGTTGATGGTGACTGTACTAACAACATGGCCCTAGTCTTACTATAGGCAGAGCATGTTTTTTTATTTATTTAAAGTCCTGTCTCTCTCCCTCTCAGACACAATCTCTCACTATCTCCTAAATCCCCCCCCCCCCCTCTCCCAACCCCCCCCCCCACTTCCCACTTCTCCAGTCCTTGCCTTCTCAAGACTAGCCCAAACAATCTAGACTGTTGACCTGTTCTGATGCCAATGACAAGTACACATAAGAAAACTCAATACCGCACAAATATGTCACCCAAAAAATATAACAGGTCACTCGTATGCCAGTAGGTAAATGGTGGTAGATGTGTATTTTCTTGACCAATGTCCACTTGATAACTGTTGTGGTCAGAACTATCGATAAGTGTTGTGGTTATTTGTCAAGGTTTCAACTTCCCTACAGATGTGTTGTCCATATATGCTCTGTTCCTGTGCCAGTGAAAATCAGACTAAATGTCCTTCCAAATGAGTAATATCTGTAAAATGTATGCCCACGCAACACTCAGGTTCTGGAAAAATACACAGAAGTGGATGAACAACTAGAGCTTTCCGCCGGAGTTTGCAGCCGGTGAGCGTGAAAAATAAAAAAAGAAGAATGGGTTTTTTTATTTAAGAACAAAAATAAAGACGCCTCACTGTTGCTTTTAACCGATCACCAACCTTCTCTTCAACAGACATGGGCTGTGACAGAGATCCAGGAAGGATGTTGGTCTGCCCGATCCGCAGCTGGTTCTCCAGCTGGCTGCTCATGGCAACCAGCTCCGGGTTGACTGGATCCAGGAAGCTGATGTCAGTCAGGTCCTCCAGTAGGTTCTGGTCGGGTTTCCGGGACATGCTGTCCAAAGAGTGGTGGTTGATCAGGTCATTTGAACCCCCAGGAAATTCTCGCATGGATGATATCAGCTCTGCTGAAAGAGAAAAGGATACTGACTGTTTCACAAAAATTTTACTCACTGGATATCCAGCAACACATAATGTGTTGATTTATAACTAATTAAACCGTCCTCTGGAACCAAAGAAGTTGAAGAAAAATTGGTCATTCTGTATATTTTGCCTTGCATCACTAGATTAGGTTGAGCTTGCTGGACAATCTCCTGAGCTAGGTAAACAAGGCTTTACATACCTTTAATGTAACATCATTTTCTATACCATTATTCTATATGAATACAACTTCACATATCCTTAACCTATCTAACATCCCTTCCATACTCACTGTCTCAAAACCACTTCCCAGACTCTTTGTCTTAATATTACTTCACCCTTAATCTACATACCCTTTATCTCAAAATCACTACCCAAATCCTTTATTTCAAAAATCACTTCCCATACCCTTAATCTGAAATCACTTCCCATACCCTTAATCTGAAATCACTTCCCATACCCTTTATCTCAAAATCACTTTCCCCACCCTTTATCTCAAAATCACTTCCCCTACTCTGTATCTCAAAATCACACTCCATATCCTTTATCTTAAATCACTTTCCATACCCTTTACCTCAAAATCACTTCCAATAACCTTTACCTCAAAATCACTTCCCGGACCTGTTCACGTTTCCAGGCCCATCTGCACAAAACACATGACAGCAAACACTGATTACCACCCCATCCGTTTGCAAAACAGCAAACAATGATTACCACCTCATTTTTGACAAAGCATAAGACAACAAAAACTGATTACCACCTCATGACAAAGCATAAAACAGCAAAAACTGATCACCATCTCATGATAAAGCATAAGACAGCAAAAACTGATCACCACCTCATGACAAAGCATTTAGACAGCAAAAACTGATCACCACCTCATGACAAAGCATTTAGACAGCAAAAAGTGATCACCACCTCATGACAAAGCATTTAGACAGCAAAAACTGATCACCACCTCACCTGTTTTCTCATCAGGTTTCCCCTCCAAAGCCTGCTTCTCCTTCTCCAGTGCTTTGTCCGAATGCATCTTCCTCAGGACAGAAGTTGGCAGGAATGTGTTAACGGGCATACCCTGACAAAGAAAAGCAAATATATATTTATATCGATACCAATTTAGTGAGTCAGCACTGTTGTGATTACTAATCTTTCACTATAAAAAAAAAGCCAACGAGCTGCCTTCCTCTTCAGCTTTGTGTCCCAAAATATTCTACAATCTGCTTCCGGTCGATTTGGTAGATAATATTATGGACAAACCACGGCAAATCATTATTCTACGCCTTAGAAGAGGACACAATCAATTTGTAGCCACGGGTACACAAAATGTAAGATTGGCGAATCAGCCATGTGTACATGATGACTGGCACCTGGGACAACAGATCATGTCCTCCAAGACTGTCCCAAATACAACATATCAAGGCAAACATTTTGGCCAAGAGAAACACCGGTGCATGCCAAACTTTACTGGTCACTGAGTGAATTACAACAGACAGAGAATTTCATACTAGAGACAGCATTGTAGATATTGATAATCTATTTCAAGCAAATAAATGAAGAAGATGCAAATAATAATAATAACTGATAATATACAGATATAATTAACTCATATGTCACACATCCCAAGTAAGGCACTGTAGACTTATACAATTAACTCATATGTCACACATCCCAAATAAGGCATTGCATACTGATGAAATTAACTCACACGCCATACATGCCAAATAAGGAACTGTAGACTTATACAATTAACTCATATGTCACATCCCAAATAAGGCATTGTATACTGATAAAATTAACTCACATGTCATACATGCCAAATAAGGCACTGTAGACTTATACAATTAACTCATATGCCACACATCCCAAAAAAGGCATTGTACACTGATAGAATAAACTCAACTACCTTTGCCTGTAGAGAAGACGTGGTCATCTGAGATGCTGACTGAGACCTTGCAGCATTTATCTGCTGCTGGCTTGGTGACTTGGCTCTGGTGAACAGACAAGAGGTCAATAATGTTAGTTAATCAACTGACCACAAGTGGTCTGACTCTGGAGGTCATGGCGTGGACCAAAGCAGTAACATGGCTGGAGACACAGACCTTCCCATATATCTTTCTCGGAGACTCAAAGAGTAATCTCAGGAAGATAGAGAAGGGCTGTCTCCTAAGACCGTTATGGAGTCTCTACAGCGATAAGGCTTACACATGCATGTAAGGAAATGAGTAAACTTATTGTCTTGCAGGTAAAGGGCAAACGAGCCATGGACCAGGCAGATATTCTGAATGCCATATGAGAAGTAAGATATTTGCCAGAACCAGGTGATAACTGTGAATCTGCAACAATGACCAGACTGCAAGAATAACATGTTAAAAGGGGTATGGCCAGACAGAGAACTGCAAACAGAAACCAAAGAAGAATAATAAACCAACACAGAACTGGTGTCATGAGGATCTTCATGCTGCAGGATTTACTAAGTAGGGGATCACAGCATTTATGGACTTGGTGGTTGGATGTGCAATGAGTATAATCTGTCGACTAAATAACTAACTAATCGAATGATCATCCTCATTGTACACTGGATAAGTCCAAAAACACTCAGATTCCATCTTCAGTATCTCCCTCATCGACTGATAACACCAGTACCAGATACTCTCTAGAATTTTCTGGGAAGGCACAGGGTGAAGATAGAAAGTGGCCACCCTATCTCAAATACCTAAGCTTTGATTATGTGACAGCCTAACACCACACACAACCTTGGCAGTATATGTTTTGAAACTTCCTTTTAAGAAAAGTGAATATTAACGTACTTAGGAGGAATGGCCAAACGAGTAGAGGACAATGAGTACCAAGAGTAAGGGTACACTTCGCTGCCTGTTGAGGAAGGAGATAGAGCCAACATGGGCTTGTCCTGAGAGCTGTAATGTTGAATCTTTACCCAGATAAACCTAGACTTAATTTCGATAAAGCTATAGATGTGAATGTACTCAACAACCATAAACAGATGGCATAAATTATAACGCACAAAACTTTCATAAACACAAAGCATAAATGTTAATATATTCAGCTAGAATTTTTTTTAAAGGTAAGCAAAATTAATTATGGGAGTTGCTGTGATGTAGTGGCTACACACTAGCTTGCTGATCGGAAGGTCGTGGGTCTGGGTCCAGAGAGAACAGACTTTCTTCAACAATGAACTTGACTCTCAGGTCGACCCAGCCTGGAGGGGGTACCAGGTGTTGTCATGGAATTAAAGGCGACTGATGTGATGCTGACCACTTTACCCACCAAGGGCGGATCGATCTATAAAAATATAAGTCAAGCCCTATATGCCCAATATGCCTGAAGACGTGGAAAAGGGTCCTTTACTTTTTTTTTTTTACAAAATTAATTATACACGTTTTCAACTTTCACAATCTGGATAGCTACAAATAATTATTGTATTAAAACTTTTGCTGGAGGAAAGAATATTTTACAGAAATGATATTTTTCTAAGCTGCCCCCCCCCCCCCTCCCCCCTGAAACTCTACCAAGAAACTAGAGCAAGTGAAGAAGAAGAAATTTGGGGTCTTGGGCAGTTTTTATAAATTGGGGGGGGGGGGGGGTTAAACCCTTAGACCACAGAGCAGACAGGCAAGCGTGAAGTCCATAGATATACCATGGCCATCAATTCACTGAAACAATTACACAAATGTTTCGTAAGTTTTTATTCACTAAACACAAATGGAGCAAAGAATTAGCTAGCTGCTTTCCGTCAATTAAACCATGCAATGAGTGCTTTATTAACTTAGTCACAGGGACCGCTGTGTCTACTACACGCTGTGTCTACTACACGCTGTGTCTACTACACGCTGTGTCTACTACCCACTGTGTCTACTACCCACTGTGTCTACTACCCACTGTGTCTACTACCCACTGTGTCTACTACCCACTGTGTCTACTACCCACTGTGTCTACTACACTCTGTGTCTACTACACTCTGTGTCTACTACACACTGTCTACTACACACTGTCTACTACACACTGTGTCTTCTACACTCTGTGTCTTCTACACTCTGTGTCTTCTACACTCTGTGTCTACTACACACTGTGTCTACTACACACTGTGTCTACTACACTCTGTGTCTACTACACTCTGTGTCTACTACACTCTGTGTCTACTACACGCTGTGTCTACTACACGCTGTGTCTACTACACGCTGTGTCTACTACACGCTGTGTCTACTACACTCTGTGTCTACTACACACTGTGTCTACTACACACTGTGTCTACTACACTCTGTGTCTACTACACACTGTGTCTACTACACACTGTGTCTACTACACTCTGTGTCTACTACACTCTGTGTCTACTACACACTGTGTCTACTACACGCTGTGTCTACTACACGCTGTGTCTACTACACGCTGTGTCTACTACACTCTGTGTCTACTACACACTGTGTCTACTACACACTGTGTCTACTACACACTGTGTCTACTACACACTGTGTCTACTACACAGTGTCTACTACACACTGTGTCTACTACACACTGTGTCTACTACACACTGTGTCTACTACACACTGTGTCTACTACACACTGTGTCTACTACACACTGTGTCTACTACACACTGTGTCTACTACACACTGTGTCTACTACACACTGTGCAGTTGCAGCTAGTACCAAAGCTTTTATAGAAATGTAGTGGTCACTGCCTAAAGATTGTATGTCATCACAAATCTTTAAATACCGGGGGTGGGGGGGGGCAGCTTTCTCAGGAAGACAGGGTTAAACTCTGTTAGCAGTGTAATTGAACAAATTGAGGATGAGGAGAACTGGATACAGAGAAGGATGAGGTCACACAGGAAGAGCAGAGAACTGGAAGAAGAGAAGGATGATGTGGTGCTGCAGGAAGAGGAGAAGAAGGTGAAGCTAGGAAGAAGAAGGATGAGGAGGAGAAGAAGTATAATAAGAAGATGATAAAAGGCAGCAGGATGAGGATAAATGGATAAAGACAATAAGAGGAGGTTAACCAGGAAGGCAAGGAGCAGGAGAAGAAAAGGAGAATACAAGATCTTCAGCATAATAACAGCCCCAGCAATGGAAATCCCCCCCCCCCCCCCCCCAGGAACCAACCAGGTACCCACCTTTCTTGTTGTTTCTTCTGGTACCGCATGTTCTGGTCAAGCAGTTGCTGCTTGATCAGAGCACTCTGCATGACAGCCTGAGCATGCACAGACAACTCTTGAGGACTGAGCACACGGGCCAGCACTGGTGACCTCATCCCAGTCGGCGACTGTATAATTAAAGAATAGGATCTTTTCACAAAATGAACATTTTTTTTTTTTTACATTCTGAAAGAAATAAAGTAAATTTAAAAAAAAACTATTGCTTAAAGCAGGGCTATTCAAGTGGCGACCTGTGGGCCAAATCAGGCAAGTGGACCCTGGATCATTGCCAAATGTACTGTATAAATGATATTTCTATGCTTTGGCTACGGTCTATGATAATCTCCGTTTTCCAAACTGTGGCCTGTGAGTTAACATGGTTGAATAGAACTGGCTTTGATCACTACTAGTACATTGACATCTAGCTGTGAAACAAACTTTCTCCAAACTTCAAACAAACAAACAAACAAAACCAAGACACTCGGTAGCATCATCATCATTATAATCCCGTAACACTATGTGTCGTTGGGTCACTAGTTTATGTTGACTGTCCGATCAGCTCTCTCTCCACCTCTGGCGGTCAGTTGCGATGGACTTCATGGTTGTATGCCTGATGCCTGTCCAGTCACTCAGGTTCTGTTGTATACTTGGCATACAAATGATATAGTTTTAGCCGTATCATCACTTAACACACAGGCAGCTATGAACTTCTTTTAACATCAGTGAAAACAACTGAAAAATGCAAGGGTACAGGCAGGCAAAAAGATCTATTGTTGGCCTCTTCTAAACAACATTACAGAGCTCTGTAAAGGAAAAGAAGCAGACCAAGGAAGATCTGGATACACAATCTGGCTGTATGGACAAGCCTCAAATATGCAGCCATCAAGTCCACTACCTCTAGTCAACAGCAACTGGTAACCCAACGATATGTGGTGTTATTATAATGATAGAAATCTGGTGTTCCAGAAATTCCCTCTTTGCATACACTTACAAAATGTTCATATAGCATCGATACATATAATCTGTATCTTCTTTTTGGTGTGAGTTTCAGGTCCCATTTGGTCAGACCCACTAAAATTTTAAAAATCAACAGCAACAAGAAGACAAAACCAGATCTAATATTAACACTTACAGCAACACAATACAAACACAGCTCAAATGTTTACTTACAATGACAAAAAGAAGGAACCAGTTCAAAGTCAACACTTACAGTGACACAAAGAAGAAACAAGTTCCAAGTTAACACTTACAAGGACACAAAGCAGAAACCAGCTCAAGGTTAACGAGTGACACAAGGAAGAAACCAGTTCAGAGTTAACACTTACATAGACAAAAAGAAGAAACCAGTTGAAAATTAACACTTACAGTGACATACAACAACAACAAAACCCAGCTCAAAGTTAACACTTAAAGTGACACACAAAAAAGAAATCAGTTCAAAAGCAACACTTACAGTGACACAAGAAAGAAACCAGTTAAAAGTTAACACAGTGACACAAAGAAGAAACGAGTTCAAAGTTAACACTTAATGACACACACAAAAACAGCCCAAAGTAAAAGGAAAAGATCAGCTCAAGCGTTCACACTTACAGTGACAAAAAGAAAGCAGCTCAATTGTTAACAAACCCACACAACAAAGCCAGCTCTAAATGTAAACACTTACGCCAAGAGCCCCTGTGGCCAGGTTGGTTCCCACAGTCAGTGACCTCGGGCTTAGCTGACCAGGGTGTATTGGTGACGGTGCATTTAGATGCAGCGGCGGCTGCTGACTAAACACTGCAAGGGACGAGATAAAAACACATTTTTACAGATATTGCACACACTAAGAACAATAATAAAGATTGGCAACTTTCCTTTTTTTTTTTAAAGTTATTTATAATGATGCTATAAATAGGGATAATGTCAGGGTATGACTGAGTGACAGAACTGGGGTTCCCACAGTCAGTGTGAGAATCATAGCTCATGGGGAAATGGCTAATTGATAGGAATTGGGAAAGTCCCTAGTAGCATGGGATTTACAGGGAGATGGTGAAAAGACAGAATTGAGCAATTCACGTGTGAATGCATGATCTGGGGGATTGAGAATGAGGTGGTCATTCGGTGACTGGACCCCAGATTGAATGGAAGGGAAACTGAATCCAGAGTGATAAGTATAAACGTGGACCTGGATGAGAATCGAAGTAAATGTTAGTCCTGAACAACAAGGAGCAAAGCTGTGATGAATTACTGTTTAGGACAGCAGTTGTGTTCTACGATCTGTTGGTAATGCCAGTCGTGTACATGACAGTGTCCATCGTCTGCAGCGTGGTTGGAGACTTAGAGCGTGAGCAAGGCGAGCTTGCCCGAATGGTGTAAGTGATTAGTTTTACTGTTGATTCTTGTCGCTTGTGTTGTATTGATAATAAACCCAATCTTTAAACGGGGAGTTGGGAAGGCAGAATGGAGACTACAGACAAGAGAGTGACAGCAACAGTTAACTCAACAGAAAAGAATAAACATCAATGTCCAAGCTTTGGACAGGACACTGTGGTCTTAGAGCTCATCTACACAGTAGGCTAGGTCCACCTGTAAATAGGTCCTTTTGACTAAATCATGGTACATTTTGGAGGAAGTCCCCGATGACCTGTTTGGCCTATAAATAGAGAAGGCCGTGGATAGGCACAACAAATTTGCTGCCTGTGGTGGTTGAGCAGAAAGAATACTAAGCATGTACTGCAGAACTGCCCTAACAACTCCCGACAAAAATCGTGGATCTGGCCCAATGGCGCCACATCACAAGAAAAGCTGTGGCGGACCGGCAGCAACTTTGGATGAACCATCATGTGTAGCATGGCTGATGGTCCACGCAGAAGATTTGTCTAAACAACATCAAGAACTGCCCAATCAACATCAGTCTTCACTGAACAGTGAGAATTGTGGAGATCTAGAAACACAATTCATGTAAAACACAAATGTAGGAGCTCAGAGCACTATATATCTGTACCTCTGGTAGCTCCAATTCTTAACCATTTTCAAAATAAAGTTTGTTGACTCGTACTTCTCAGCTTTGCGTCCAAATATACTGCCATATTTACCCTTTCCCTGTGTGGGTTCTGGGGTCCCCCTGAGAGGAAAACAAGAATAGACCCACTGCCTCCCCAACAAGCATGTCATAAAATTCAACTAACTGGTCAATTCTCGTCAATGAGATCATAGTGCATGTACCTTAGAGGCAGGACTAACAATCTGCATACGAATAATAGATACTGGGTCAGCAGAAAATGCAATCAGAAACGGAGGTGCAGGAGCGTACACTGAGCATCCTAATAATACCAGGGATACAGCCAAATATCAACAGGAAAGCACTGTCATAACTATGATGCAGAAGTTCAAACCCTCAATATAGCGGCAGAGAAACTACTAAATACTGGGTATATTTCCCAACCAGTGGTATTCTTGACAGATGCAAAAGCGGTACTTCAGGAACTCCAATCTGGATAATTACCAAGTATAAGGACACTATTATCCGAACTAGGCAACCGTTGTAAGGTAGTTATGTGGTAAATACCAACCCACTGTGGAGTTCCTGGAAATGAAAGAGCTGATAAACTAGCTAAGGAAAGGGCAACTGAAGAAGAGAATAATCAAATCAATCAGATTATCTTCCGCCTTAGAACAGGGCAAAATTGATTTCGCTGCCACGTGTACACAAACACTAAGAGAGACACTTGTAGAATCCAAACTTTACGGGCCACTTAGTGAATTACAAAAGACAGGGAAGTTCATACTAGAGACAGAATTGCAGATATAATTTATTCAAATGAACAAAAGAAGAATAGATCTGAAAAACAGATGTGCAGCAACACTCAGGTTGTGAAAAAAGAACTAAATTCAGACGTGAACTAACAAAAAGAACTGTCCACCAGAGTTACAGTCAGTGAACACGAAAAAAAAAGAAGAAGACATTGATCTTTATCTCATTAAAAGCTCGTGTAAGACAAGAGTGACCAGGAGATGTGCCAACTCTCAACACTCAAGGAAAAGGCGAGATGAATATACAATCAGACTGTTACTGGTGTCATCAGAACTTGCACTCTGTACTTGCTGCTGAAGATGGGTGAAGTGCAGGGATGTTAATTCTTAATTCTTCTTTTTCAGCAATCCCTAGTCATGTGCTTAATCCCCAGTGGGCCATAAACTGAGATGTGATCTCGAGGTCTCGAAGGTTTCCCCAAAGCTTAGTTGCCAGGTCTACTGGGTGTGGCCACATGTTCCTCCAGAAAATGACAGTCTGGCAAGACATGTTCTGCAGTCTGTTCAGCATGAAGACACTGGCAGAGGGCTGTTTGGTTGATACTTAATTTGTATGAGTGTTTGTTGAATCTGCTGTGTCCAGTGCGTAATCCGATTCTTAATTCAAACTCCAACAAACATTTCTGTCACATAAGTGTTAATATTAGTGGTTGTCAGACAATTCTCTTATTTCTTTGCCCGAACCCATAAAAAAATATACATTAAAAACAAAAACATTCACGCACACACACACACACAGAGGTCATCTTCTATTCGCCCAAAATAAGTTGTCTACATCAGCAATGTTGTTTCTTGTATGAACTTCACTGTCCATTTTTTTAAATTTATTCAGCGGTCCACAGAGTTAATGGTCCATTGTTGTTCCTTCTCGTCAAAAGGTTTTGCCTTACTGTATCAAACTCGGTGCAGTCCTGGAGTACATGTTCTGCTGTCTGGGGCACCCTTCCACAGGTGCACATGGCTGATACATCTATCTTGACTTTTGTGTACATGTGGTTACGTAATCGGTTGTGCCTTGTTCTGAGGTGAAGGGTAATGACTTGTTCTGATCTGTCCATAATAAAACAGTCCCCTTGTGCTGGGGCTGGTGGTTCCCTGATCGATTTAATGGTCCTTTTCTTCTGGCGATATGTAACTGGGACATCCGGCTGCTCTATTGTCGCACCTTTCCATGCCAATTGATTAGCTTTCTCGTGTACAGGCACTCCACAATGGGACAGTATCCAATGTATTGCAACTCTGCGATGACAGCTAAGTTGTGACAGCAGTGTTTGCAATTGTAGTAGTTTCCCAGACTGGAGTGCTTCAAGTATGGATTTTGCATCTGGCACAGACTGTGAGCCAAGGTTGGTATTTAGCAGTTTCTCTGTTGCTATCTTGACAGCCTGGGTTTCTGCATCATAGTTTTGGCAGCTGGTAAACTGAACTCATCCCTAGTCCCATCTGAGTATTCTAATTACACTCCCGCATCACCATTTCTAACTGCATTTTGTGCGGACCTATCTGTACAGACTCGGATCTTCTTGGAGGTATTCTTCATCAATATAAGTGAGGGTGGCCATGTATACTATCTTGCTCTTTCTTGTCAAATATTCCTTTCACATTTGTCTGCATCTGTACTAGTAGTTTGCATTTTTCTCTCCGTGGGGTTTGTTTTGAAATACTTTTTAAGTGGACAACCAATTACTGGAAGGTCAGTAGGCTTGTCTGCAAATTTTTTTTGCTTGGTGTATAAAGGTGCTTCTTTTCAATCGTCCCTTTGCTAGATTTTTGAAAAACCCACACTCACACCCATCACCTCACACAAACACACGCATGTGCGCAAACACTTAAACCCAGCACCTCATACACACGTGCGGGTGCAAGCACCCACGCACCATGAAATGTCAATACATACTGAGTGGTGATGGGATTCGAGCTGTGTTAGGCACTGCCGACTGCTGTGATGCCAAGATGGCTGCCATGTTAGGACCTGGTGAGGCGGGATTCATCACGATTGTCGGATTCTGCTGAATGAGGCTGTAAATCAGATCAGACGACACCAGGGGGCCCCCACTTTGGGCTCTGGGCCTTATCAAAGAGTTTGGATGAGATGTCATTGACTGCAGAATACCGGAGGTCACTTGTTGTTTGTTCATTAGTCCTGGAAGTGTTGGTATGTGTTTCACGATTAATAATCACTGTTAAAACAGTAGAAAAATTCAGTATTTTTCTGTTCATAAGACAACCCTTTATTTTCTTTAGCCGAAAACGAAAAAATACAAATTTTGCATATAAGGCGACTCTCACTGTTTGGGCGGGAAAAAAATTCTGGAAATTCATCTTATTAACGGGAAAAATATGGAAACTGTTAACTGAAGAGGGGGGGGTGGTGTAATCTTCATGGCCAAATGGCTGAGCCATTCGAATCAAACTGTGAAGGTAAGGGGTTTGTTTCAGAGATGCATTTTTTGGTTTATGAGTGCAGTTTTTTCAAAGATCCCTGGGGAAAATCACTGGCGGTATGGAGTTTGTGCTTTGTGAGACGCTCCTGCAGGCAGCTAGCTGCTGCATGAAGCCATACGGGATAAAATCCAGAGCAATGAAGCCGATACTTTTGACTTGACTTTATATTTAAATCAATCAGGTGCCATCTCCACACTGAAGGTTGGCTGCAATGGATTTCCAACACTCTCCATCTCTTGTCTTGGTTGTACACTCTCTCATACTGCTGTTTATCCATCTCCTGATGCTGCCTTCCCACTTGTATCGCTGTCTAGCTCGTGCTCACCAGAGTGGTTTTTAAAAGAGTGGCTATGTAATGTTAATGTGGCCAAAATATTTTAATTGTCTCTTTTTATTTATTTCAGCCATTCTCTTTTCATCCGCAGTCTTTCCAGAACCTCTGAAATTGAACTCTCCAACTATTTGTGAATAATCAAGGACGGGAGACAGACACAAAAAGGTGGATGGGAGTTGAAAATTGTTTTTTAGAATTCAAGACACCCCCCCCCCCCCCACCCCCAAGACTCTCGAGGCTAATGTTATTCATCATCATCATTAACCAATTCTGCCATTAAGCATTAAAAAGAGGAATGGTTTGCAATCCAGTTCAACCTGGCTTGAACTGGCTATAGTCATGCTGTGAAGGCTTAAAGTTTCTTTAATGTTGTCTATCCATTTTTTCATAGCTGTTCTCTCGCTTTTACAGCTGTTCTTCTGAGATGTCGTGCCTGTGGTGGTATTTGCTGTTACTGCAATCTTGAGATGGCCTAACCCCTTAATCTGCTGTTTCTTGATGAATCGAGGCACAAGTTGTTTTTCCTAACTATCTGTCTGATAGTATCATTATTTCCCCATGTGGATTCTAGGGCCCCATCGTAGTGGTGCAGGAGAGCCTAGCATAGGTTACCACAACATCCAGCTTAAGAATGGAGGTGGAAGCAGTCACTGCAGCTTTCCGCTGGCTAGAGAACATGACACACACATACATCGTGACTGTAACTGACTCAGAGGACAGCCATGCTTCGTGCAGAGTGGCATGCATCCCTTCAGAGATCAAGGGTGAGGAGCACTGTCTGGATCTTTCCTCCAGAGTGCCAGTGTGTTGGGAAATAAACAGGTGGACCGACTGGCTAGCTCTGCACAACTGGTGGAATACTGATGCATGATAAGGCAGACGTGGTTAGGGCCTTGTGGGAGGATGTGTGCAATTCGGAGAAGCAAACGAATCAACACAGTCTGGTGAGAGTGATGCAGCAGCGATCTGGCTGATACTCGACGCTTGGAGGAAAGGCAAGGTAGACACATAATCAGAATGCTACAGGCATCATTGGTATTGGACCTCTGCACAGGCTACTGAAGATGGGGACGGAGAGTTATGGAATTGCCCGAGTGCTGTGATGCCAGTTCTTGAATCAACTCAATTCAACACAACTACAGTAGGGGAAAACAAGAACAGAACCACTGCCCACCCAAAAGTCTGTCATAGGAGTCGACTAATTGGAAGTTTCCTTTAAAGTCAGAGTGCATCTGCATAAGAGGAAAGGAACCAACAGTCTGCATAGAAATGAGTCTCATCTGTAAAACAAACGCGCATGCAATACCCAGCTTCTAGAACAGGACTACGGCCCAGACGTAGATGAACAGCCAGAGTTTAAACGAAGGAGTATCATCATTCAATCTTTCTGAGGTGGTTAGATTTGTGGCTTTTCTCGGGCATCTCATCTCGCAGGTGGTGATTTTGCATACATGAGCTTTAGACTAATGTTATTCAAGTATGTGAAGAAACCCAACAAACATGCTGTAAAGCCAATCAAGTTGTTGGCCAGATGGCACCAATTTTTAAATGCAAGCATGTGAATATGAACACTGTTTAATCAAATATTCTTACCAACACTCTGCTATCAATGTCAGACATGGACACTGTCTTCAGAAGATGGAAGAAAATAGTCACGACATAAATGAAATGTTTATGTACGATGCTATGCGTAACGAGGAAAGATCGACTTAGGAACGATGAGAGTCGGCACAGAAGCAATACTGAACTTTACAGGCAGACAACAAATCAAGTGTTTTGGCCATGTAACAAAAATGGCATCAGACAGTGCACCGTACAGAGCCAACATTATACAGATACAACGGTAACAGAGCCAGGGGTCGACCATGCAGAATATTGACCACAGAAATATCAGAGATTCTGAAAAGTACTTTATACAAAGCAAACAATAGGGCCTGTTCCAGGGATCTCTTCCTGCCCTGGCACTATAAAGCATTCCAGAAGTAGAGAAAAGAACAAGAAAACGCACGTTATGCCTCCATCCAACCAGTGTGTCTTAGCTATCTGAGCCCTTTAAGACTGAGCACTGAACTCTCTTTTCTTAGTACTGACTGGCTGTTAACTCTTTCAGAAAGTTCTGGTTGTTCATCAACTCCTGGACTTAGGTCTTGATCCAGAACTTGCATGCACATCTGTTTTACAGAAATTACTTATTTGTACATCGACTAATGGTTTCTCGCCTCTTAGGCAGTTGCACTCAGGATCTGAGAGAAACACCCCCAATTAGCCGCACTTCTACGATATGCTTACTAGGGAAAAATTCCCGCCTAGGTGATGTGATTATCTAAACAGATGGCTCTGCACTGAGGGGCCGACAAAGTGCATGAGGTGTTCATAGTAAAAGTAAATTTACATACATTGCTTAATGCAACAAAGTCTAGCATATGATATCATGTCTAGTTTGAGAATGGAGGTGCAGGCAGTCACTGCTGCCTTCTGCTGGCTTGAGAATGAGCTGTACGCACATGCCGTTGTTGTAACTGACTCACAGAGCATGCTGGGAAAGGTGCAGACAGGCATGCTCCAGGCAGAGTGGCAAGCATCACTTTAGAGGTCCCAGTAGTTAGCATCCTTTGGATATTTTCTCCAGCTCAAGCCGGTGTGTTGGGAAATGAGCAGGCAGATAGAACTGGCTGGTTCTGCACCACTTGGTGGTGAACTGATGTATGACAAGCTGGATATTGTAGGGGCCCTTTGGGAGCGAGTGAACAGTGCTGAGGCACAAACAGATCATTACGGTCTGAGGAAAATGGCGCTGCAGGGAGTTACCAGGGGATCTGGCCGATGTGCAACACCCAAGGGATGGAGATACTTTCAGACAGTTTCTGGCACCATCAGAACTAGAACTTTTTGCTTGCTGCTGAAGAAGAGGACAGAGCACTTATGGGAGTGTCCCGAGTGCTGTGATGTCGATTTAACATTCAACATACAACGCCTACTAAGGGGCAGTGGGTCTACTCTTTAGTCTTTAAAATGAAGCCCCCAAACCCACATTTGGGGGGGGCGTTGTGCAGAGCGGCTAGGTGCTTGCCGCAGATCAGAAGGTCGTGGGTTTGCTCCCTGACTAAGCTCGACTTTTTTTTTTAAATGACCTAGGCTCACAGGTCGACCCAGCCTTGAGTGGGTATCGGGTGTATACCGGGAAGCAAAGGTGGCCGGTATGATGCTGATCACATCATCCAACTTGTGACGATTGGTCTATAAAATATAGGTCTAGCCCTATATGCCTAAAGGCGTGAAAAGGGTCCTTTACTTGAAACCCACATAGGGGGCCAAGAACAAAAATGAAAAGAACCATACATACCAGAAAGCTGTTTTGTGTGGTTCATGACTGAATTCTGCTGATGCTGAAGAAGATGATGATGATGCTGTTGCATTGACTGTGCTTTCTGCAGCTGCTGCATCTGCTGGCTGACCAGGGGTGGTGGCGGATGCTGACTGACCAGGGGTGGTGGCGGATGCTGGCTCAGTTGAAGCATCTGCTGATGGGAATGGATGTGCGGGGGTGGTGGTGGGAGGTGAGGTGGCAGCTGTGGTTGTGAATGGTTCGAGTGCTGAGCAATGTGAAAAGACTGCTGTTGAAGCTGGATCTGCTCCTCTTTATTTCTCAGGACAGCCTGTGTGGAATGGAAATGTGAGCTTCATTCAGTAATTTCTTTGTGTGGGTTCTGAGGTCCCATCGTGGGAGAAAGAAACCAGCAAAAAGGTAACATCGTGACACAAAAAAGAAACCAGCTCAAAGTTGACACTTACAATTACACAAGAAAGAAACCAGCTCAAATTTAACACTTACAGTGACACAAAAAAGAAACCAGCTCAAATTTAACACTTACAGTGACACAAGAAAGAAACCAGCTGAAAGCTGCTTTGTGTGGGTTTCCGAGGTCCCATTGTGGGGGGAAAAAAAGAATAGAACCACTGCCTCTGTAACATGCATGTCATAAGAGTCAACTATTTCCCTTTTCAGTGCCTGTGTAGTGATTCTCTGTTTTTCTGTTCTCCGAATGTGTTCCAATACAGCGCCAGCTTTTATGCCTTACAGCTGCTGAAACTAATGGTTGCCCAGATATTTCTCTTATTTCTTCATTCCTCTAGAATTCGTCCCATTTTATAACTTCTTATTAGCTTATCTAAATACAGAGATTAACCGAGGACTACTTGTTTAAAACGGTGGAGGCAGATGTTACGCTGCAGAGATGTTTTTTGCCACAGACAGCACGTCGCTGGTGCAGTTTCTACATGTGGATGGTAGTCTACAGTTTCACAGCCTGAGCTACTGAGTTAGTTCTCGGTGCAGCCCTGTGAGCTGTGTTTTCTTCTGTGGAAAGCCTTTTATTTGTGCAGCGGCTGTGCTGTGGTGTTCAATATGGTTGGTAGCCAGTTTACGTATTAAGCTGGTGGAATACCTTATGTATCAATTCTACTTGTGTATGGTCTACTTGTCATGCTTAACTATTTCTGTCAATGACGGAAAGCATCTCTGCTGGCAACTGCCTCCTGCAGCTGAAATGTACATCTGCTGTGTGCGCATATTTCTGGATTTTTCCTGGGCTAACTGTTTAAATGCGACAGTGGGCGACATTTTATTTGATTTGCATTAGCACAGGAAGGGGAAACCCGACTGTAGTGGTGTTGAAATCTCGACTAAGACTAATCAGAGATTAAACAACATTAGAAGTCTATGGTTGAGCACTAGCAAATAAATCACTAAGTTAACATTTTGAGAGCATGCATCTTCCCTGTAGCACCATATGGAATTTAAAAAAATTGGGGCTTTTGAACTTAAATGCTATAGAAAGATTCTCAGAATATCATGGGCAAAAGAAGAGAAGACAAATACAAATACTGACATTCTAAAAAGTCTGAAAACCTAGGAAGATTGGCTAATAAGCAGCAGCTTGTCTTGGAAGCTGAAATATTTTTTTTTATATCAAGCAACACAGAGGACTGGAAGGCATGGCACCAGGAAGGAGGGGCAATGGCCGAACAGCACGAAGATAAGCACAGGAAATCAGTGACTCCTTGGATATGACTGCACAAGGCAGCAGAGCTAGCGAGAGATCAAGTTTCTTTCAGGCAGACCGAGATAACAGCGATGTTCTGCAAAGGACCTGCTACATAAGGAAAGATAAAGCAAAGCTAACCCAACTTGCAACTTACATGATTGAACTCATGATGGCTTGGGAACACACCAAACGGAGCACGGGTAGCCTGTGGTTCTGTCTGGGTCTGAAGATATAAAAAGTGTGACAAATTCACACAATTATCATTTGGGGATGCAAACCCATTTTCTTCTTCTTCTGTGACCACCCTAAAAGAAGAGGCTAGCACACTGTTTGGTTTACAGCTAGGCTGTGATATCTGCATCTTTTGTCCCAACACATCCGATTTCAACAAATTATTAAATATAGTTGCCTTTTATGACATGCTTGTTAAGCAGCGGTGGGTGAGTTTGAGATGTCCATCATTTAAGTGTCCTGCGGGATAACAGAAAAGTTTGAGACGTCCATCATTTAGGTGTCCTACGGCATAACAGCAATGTTTAAGATGTCCATCATTCAAGTGTCCCACGGCATAACAGCAATGTTTAAGATGTCCATCATTCAAGTGTCCCACGGCATAACAGCAAAGTCTGAGGTGTCTGTCAGTCAAGAGTCCCACGGCATAACAGCAAAGTCTGAGGTGTCTGTCAGTCAAGTGTTGGGGTGTCATAACCACCCCCTGCAGAGACTCAGCCCTATACCATCAGATTCATTTGCAGCTTTGTTAAGCAACACCTCATGCCTACTGTTTGAAAAACAAGTCTCAGATTTCCTACTTTCAATTATCCAACTGGTTGCTTCTTGTTGATCTCCAGAAGCTGCAGACAGTGATGAGTCACAGGCTCAACAAATGGATGTGAGGTTAAGCAGTCATGTGCGGGATGCAATGATTCCTTGAGTGAGCCCAGGACCAGAGAAGAAGATAAAGAAGATGAAGAAGAATAAAATGAGGATGAGGATTATTATGATGAAGAACGGTGAAGAATAAAATGATAATGATGATGATGAAGAAGGTGAAGAAGAAAATTATAATGAAGACAACGGCGATGATGAAGACAACAATAAAGATGAAGAAGAAGATAAAGAAGAAGACAATGATAAAGAAGAAGATTCAGACTAGCCTGAGAAGCGGCCTATGCCCCACTAGGAAATAAAAGCTAAGAAAACACAAAAGATCATAAACACATACAAGATTCTCACTAGCAGAGGCCAAAGCTCCACCTGAAGATCAAAGAGAAACAGAACAAAATTAGACCAACACTCACAAGATTCTGAATAGCCTCGGAAGCAGCATTCATCATGATCAGCAGCTTGTTGAAGGCCGCCATGTCCTCTGTCCCGGCAGACGTGTTGCTGACACTGCTTGTCACCGACAGCCCGCTGCTGGACTTCTGGGGGGAGTTCTGATGCATGTCGGCCTCCAGCTCGGCCACGGTTTTCACTTTTCTCTGGACACCTGCAGAATACAGAAATGCAGGAGATGACATCAACAGAATGATGTTTGTAACCTGAGGGAATTCAGTATGTGTAACTTAATCTAGCCCTTTCACCCCAGAAACAAATGTTTTCTTCAGGGGGTGGGGGTTATTGGAAGTAGAACTGATAGGGTCGCATCTCCCCGAGCTTCACAAAAAAAAATATTTAGTGTGACCCGTTTTTGATCCTGTACCCTATCTGCCAGTTATAGCTGTAACTAACAGATAATTCTGGTGTCATAAATTTGAGAAATAAAGCAATTTTTGACAAAGACACTCGACTTAAATGCTATTTTTAGCAACTAAGCTCATTCCAGGTCGTTCTAAAAGGGCTGCCAAGGAGGGGAAAAAGCGCTCGTAAACAAGCCTCGATAGCAAACCCCAAAACAGGAAATTTACGAGATCATGTCACAAAAAAGAAGCGCCAGGATTTGCGCTTCTTTTGGTGAGAAGGTTAAACAAGTTATTAAAGTTAAAAAAAATCTGGCTAAACAAGAGGAGTACATACTTGGAGGCAAGCTGGCTGGGGATGCAGTGCCACTAGACGGAGCGGAGTCTCTGTTGCCACCAAACAGTAGAGCCTTGAGTTGTGCTTCTGCATCCTGTGTGCTGAAACTGCTGTTGCTGGAGATTGCTGTCGGACACAAGGAATGAGTAAATGCTGTGTAACTGACTGTATGTTAACTGTGTCAATGCTGTGTAACTGATTGTATGTTAACTATGTAAATGCTGTGTAACTGACTGTATGTTAACTGTAAATCTGTGTAACTGACTGTATGTTAACTATGTAAATGCTGTGTAACTGACTGTATGTTAACTATGTCAATGTTGTGTAACTGACTTTACATTATGTAAATGCTGTGAAGCTGACTATATGTTAACTATGTACATGCTGTGTAACTGACTGTGTTAACTATGTCAGTGCTGTGTAACTGACTGTATGTTAACTATGTAAATGCTGTGTAACTGACTATGTTAACTATGTAAATGCTGTGTAACTGATTGTATGTTACTTCATCATGTGATCCTATCAGTAACTGAACAAGTCAATATTTGCTTAGTGCTCGTGAGGACAGACAAAGAGAGGAATGAAGATGTCTTGAAGAAAATTACATCACCAAGAGGAACTGACTGCCCACATCAGGAGGAAACAACCTACATTCTTTGATTGCATCATAAGAAGGAGAAAACTGGAGTACATTGTGACAGTGAAAAAGTTGAGTGAGTGAGTGAGGGAGAGAAGAGAGAGAGAGAGAGAGAGAGAGAGAGAGAGAGAGAGAGAGAGAGAGAGAGAGAGAGAGAGAGAGAGAGAGAGAGAGAGAGAGAGAGAGAATGGAAGAAACAATAAATAAAACACACAAAAATAGTGAAAGAAAGAAAGAAACAGTAAAAGAAAGAAAGTGTGAAAGAAAGCAAGAATGAGCGGGAAAAAAAAAAAAGAAAGAAAAAAAGAAAAAAAAAAAAACCAAAGAAAACAAAGAAAATATTAAACTGTCCCCTATTAAACCTAGACTCACGATACAAATCCCCCCTTACAAGCATTGGAACCTCCGAGAGCCGCACTGTTGAACAAGGCTGTCACCGCAGGGGGGCAAGGCTGGCTTGTCAAAAGCTGCATTGTTATCCCCCGCAGGGTTTGGAACAGGGACCAGGTTCTGGTGCTGGCTAAACATGTGCTCTTTGCTGTGCGTCTCCAGCTGGTTCTGGAAAGGCAGCAGGCCATGGGGGGCTGGGCCTAGCTGAGTGGGCACTGCTGCCATGGGGCCCACCATGGGGGTGGGTGATGGAAAGGCAGGACTGTTATGGCTGTCTTCTAAAAGATCTGGAAGAAAAAGAAACACATTTTTTTTTAAAACTCCATCTATCAAGTGCATGCACAGCAACTAAATCCCACTTCCAAAACCAGGCAAAGATCATTCAGAAACATTCCCCTACCCAATACTTTTGACAAAGATGTTGGAGAGGATTGCTGCCATACAACTGCAAAGATTTTGGAAACGGAAGAGCTTCTGTCCAACGGTCAAGGTAGTTATCGGCCAGGGAAAGACCTGGTCAAATACAGCCACTTTTTTGTGGATGTTTATGAGGAGTTCCATAACAGACAGGAGACTGTGGTGGCAGCACTTGATCTTCAGGGTGTATCCAGTAGAGTCAAATATGATAAACTGATGCTTGCGCATCCCTCCGGAGAAGGGAGTGTGTCCCTGGTCGGTGAACTGATAGCAGTGTCCTGCACTCACGTATGGCTGCCTTCTGTCCAGGTTTCACAATCCAAACACAGTGAGGTTCGATGTCAGTTGCAAACGATTTGGTAGCACAGTTCTGCACTGATTTTGACAACCTTGTATCATTCAGAAAGCAATGGCAAACTACTAAATATGAAACTTTAGTAAAACCTACAAACAGCCAACAACTGCCGGTGGCTGGTTTGTGAAAGACATGTAGTTAAGTAGTTCGGTTTTTGTCTGACCCAATCACATTTCCTGTTCTTCTTTATTCAAAGTGGCATAATTGTGTTTTTCTAGTTAACTAACAGATTCTTCTTCTTTTTTTCCCTTTTCCTGGAATGCCTCGCTGCGCCATGGCAGGAAGAGATCTCTGGAACGCACCCTTCTGTTTGCTTCAGATGAAGTACTTTTCACTAAAGCATTGCTGTCTGTGGTGCTCTGCCTGATGCCAATCTTGTTTCATGGCCAAACCATTTGATTTGCTGTCTACCTATAAAGATCAGTATTGGTTCTGTGCCAACTCTCATCCTGATATCATCGTTCCTAAGCTGATCCTTCCTTGTCACACCTAGCACAGTATGTAAACATTTTATTTCTATCCTGACTATATTCCTTCTGTTTTCTGAAGACAGTGTCCATGTTTGACATTGATAGCAGAGCGTTAGCAAGAATACAGCTTTGAAACAGTGTTCTCTTAGTGTTCATATTCACATGTTTGCATTTCAAAATTGGTGCCTAAAACTTGACAGGCTTTATTGCACCTTTGCTGGAATTTTTTATTGATTCCTCCGTCTTCTCAAAAAATTGTCCCAGATATGTAAAATTCTTCGCTTGCTTTAACTGGTGTTCATCAATTTTGATACTGGTAGTTCCTCATTTTCTGAAGAATGTCATTGCTTCTGTTTTGTCTATGTTTATCTTCACATAACTGTCGCATTCTGAATGGAGTCTGCTTTGTTCTTGTAGCCGTACTGATGTTTGTGCTATGATTGTCTCGTCATCAGCAAAAAGCAATTCATTTAGTTATTCTCCAGTGTTGTCCCCTTCGCTGATGTTAACTAATTTACAAATTTAGTCAGCGTATGTAATGAACAGCAGTGGTGATAAAACGCACATCTGTCTCACCCCAGGTCTAATGTTGAAAATTCTGACATTTCTGTATTTGTTCTCACTGTGCATGTACTGTTCACATATAAACTCATGCACAATTTAATAGTGTTCATTGACTGCGTAATCCCGTCGAACCTTCCACAATTTATCCCTATTAACTTGATCGAAAGCTTTCTCTTGGTCTACAAATGCAACGTGTAATTCTTTAGCGGTTTATTGTTAATATCAAGTATGCATTATGTATATATGTATACTTTTGAGCTGACACATCCAACTTCATCAGGTATTTGTTGGTTAGGCTTGCCAGTTTAGAGGGACATTGCACATCCACCACATGGATGTTATTCAGCAAAAAGTTCTTTTAATACATAAAAAAAGACAAAGCCAACAGACATATAATCTCAATCAAAGCTCCGAGATAAGAACAAAAATAAACTTGCCTAAGGGTACAAGCATGTTCTCCAGAGATGAGGTATCGCTCCCCAGCTTGTTTCCATTAATCCCAGAGAAGAAACGAGAGAATCGGCTGCCCTGGCATACAGAATCTTCATCCTGTTGAGAAATCAGAAAACAGGCCATTGGCAACAACTAAACTGACCAGGCTACCACTTCAAGATGTTATGGCCAGAGTATTAGCTCCATGTTTTATCCAATTTCACACACCAAGGCACCATACAAGGCACAAAACTGTAGTTCCAGCAACAACGTCTCAGTAAACTTTTTTCTTTCCTGACTAGTATTTAATTCTAGTGGTCAGACATGTGTCAGAGATTCAACTGACCAGACAGAGATGTGATTTCTCTGGGAGATACTTCAGTTAAGTGAGTTTGTGTATTCTTGTTCGCATGTGAGGTATTGTATATTCAGGTCATGTGCTACTGAAGGCTCTTTATCCACAACGATGTGTCCAAATCGCTGCTAAGAATGAGAGATTTTGAAGTAAATATCATCACTCAGAATTGAGAAGCATACCTCAAATGTGTTAGTGTCAACCATAATAGGACTTGCACTTTTAACCATAGGACAATAAGGGATAAAGAGGAATCTGAGTGCCTATAGAAGGGTCTGCAGTGCCACCAGGATAACCCAACTGACAACAACTGGAGAATATCAAAGTCTCATCACAGAGGCCAGCAACCTTATGCTTTAGAACAGGGCTATTCAACTGGCAGCCCAGGGGCCAAATCTGGCCTGCGGAGGTCTAGCAAGAGGCCCACGGATCACTGCCAGTTGTATTGTATTGATGATCTTTCTATGCTAGGGCGTAAGCCTCTGGTATGTGCTGATCCTCATTTTCACATTTCTGGCCCCTGGGTAAACTTAATGATACAGCCGTGCTTTCGAAAATCACAGTATCTCTTCTTCCTCTTTGTACACCGGCTGTAAGCTCTGGCGGAAAGTCCTGGTTGTTTGTCCATGCTTGTTAGGTTACAACATGCTGGTTATAGGCAGTAGGGCTATTCTTACCCACACACCCCCACAATGGGGCCCTGAAACCACCCCACGGGAAGTCGTTCACTATATTTAAAATCAATAGCAACATGGACCAGGTCAAAACTGAAAAAATTAGGTTCTGGTGTTGACAGCTTAGTCATAAATGTTTTTGCTTTCAGTTGGCACATCTGCCCAGCCAATTTCCTCTATGCCGCATCTACACAGCCAATCTGATATCTGGCACATCTGCCCAGCCAATCTCGTCTATAGCACATCTGCCCACCTGTGTCTTCCTCACCTCTTGATGCATTGGAATTTGATTAGTTTTACCTCTTAGTTTATTCATTATTATTCTATACCATCTAACCCCTTCAAATTTACACAAACATCATTTCATGAACATGCAAAGTTTTTTTTTAATGTCATTATTTTAGTCATCTTCTATGTTTCGGCTCTTTACAGTAATTGTATAAGTAATTATAAAACAACTGACACTAAAAGAGCACTATTCAATACAATATTTTTAATCAACACTGTGCTACCAGTGCCAAAGGTGGACACAACATGGGGGAAAATGAAAATAAAAACAGCAGAATTGAAATGTTCTACAATTAAGACTAAATGTAACTACAAGAGCCACGATGAGGAATGACAATATCAGAAAATAAGTTGGGGTGGAACCATACTAAACTAGATCAAGAGACAACAGAAGAAATGGTTCGGCCACATGACAAGACTACCACTAGGATAGTGCAAAACAGAGCTGTGTGACTTATACATAATGGAAGCAGCACTAGAGGCTGACCATGTGATCGATGGACAGATAGAACATCCAATGCAGTCAACACTAGCATCTACATAGCACATAATATAAAGACTCACACCTGATACCTCATCAAAAGCTGATGCTGAAAGGCAGAACAGGACTAGAGAAAGAGGAGGAGCAGGAGAAGACGATAAAGAAGAAGGAGGAGGAGGAGAAGAAGAAGACAAAGAAGAAGAAGAAGAAGGAAAAAAAAGGAGGAGAAGAAGAAGAAGAAGAAGAAGAAGAAGAAGAATGGATGAGGAGGAGGAGAAAAAGGCGGAGGAGAAGAAGACGACAGCAGTGTAGTGACCTGATTCTAAATTCAGTCTAATTTAATCAAACTTCCACATATTTTCTAATGCTATGAAAGCTTCCCTTCCCTTGTATCTTTTTTTATATATATATCCAACACTCTCTACATTACTGCCTAAGCAGGATTCGCTGTCTATATCCTGTTCTTTCCTGTACAATCACTTTAATATCATGATTGGAGTTTAGTCTTTCAACTTTTTTTTATAGGCGAAAAAAAAAAAATTGGTTTTGTGCTTTGTTATATGTTAATTTAACTCTGCGGCCTCATACCTGACAAGATATACTGAAGGTTTAAGGTTAAAGTCGAGAGGACCGACTTCACTGCAGCGGGTTTTTACCCATATGGCTCGGTCTCTCTCCTCAGAATGACTAGCTGTCCGCCGAGAGCGCCCCGCAGAGTTTGAACTCCGTAGTAGGATATACATTAAATAGCATAATACAATATTACATAGTGCAATACAACATCAGACAAGGCAATACAACATTACATCAGGCTCGGAGGCTGCTTCAGATGATTCTAATGTTATATATGGAAAAAAAAAACATTTAAAAGTGAATTCTTTTTGATGTGTTTGTGTGTGTGTGAGAGAGAGAGAGATGGAGGGAGGGGGAGAGAGAGAGAGGGGGAGGGGGGGAGAGAGAGATTTTGTTGCTGTTCGGGGAAACTGTTGTCTTACTGACAATCTGCCTTCTCTAGGCACATTATGAGATTATTTATGACAATGAAAAAAATCTTATTCTTCGTGTTCACCGGCTGTAAACTCCGGCGGAAAGTTCTGGCTGCTTGTCCACTTCTAGACTTTGGTCCTGTTCCAGAATTTGAGTTTGGCATACAGATCTGGCTTACTTATATGCTGATACAATACAGATAATGATTACAATCAACGGAATCACAGATGGAGATGAGTCCAGTGACCTTCAAAATCCATCAGCTGCCCAACACACCCAACTTCAAAAAATCTTTAATTTATCCTTTTTTATGAGATTTTGTTCTTCTTCTCGTTCACCAGCTGCAATCTCTGGTGGAAGTTTCTGGTTGTTTGACCACTTCTGGACTCTAGTCATGTTCCAGAGATTAAGTGTTGAATGCACATCTGTTTTACAGATCTGACTCATTTGTATGCAGACTACTGGTTCCTTGCCTCTCAGGCAGATGCACTCCAACTTTAAAGGAAGCTCCCAAACAGTCAACTCTTTCTGCATGCTTTCGGGTAAGCGGTGTATCTATTCTTGTTTTTTCCCACAGCAGAGCTCCTAAAACCCACATGGGGAACCCACATGTATTCAAAACAGACAGCACAATTGTCATTACCTTTACTAGAAATGTCCTCCGAAGGTGTGTTAATCTTGCTGCTCTCATTTCTCTGGTTTGGCCTGGCATCTCCTTCACCTGCGTCACAAACGCCTTCTCGGTCAAACCCTCGGAGCTCTATGGTGTCCGTCTGACTGCTGGGGCCTCCGGTGAACCATTCCGGCTCCTTTTCTTCATGCCTGTAGTTGTTTCTGCGAGCTGACACATCAACAGTATAATCAGTTAACACCTTGCCTATCACAATTCTTTTTCTACCCTTAATCTTGAATGGAGTAGCATGGCATGCAGTTATCCCGATCTTTTTTTACCTCCACTCTCTAGTCGCCTTCATCCCTCTGCATAGCATCAGACCCATCTGCAGTGATGCTGGAAGCTCCACCAATGATTAAAACAAGAATTATGATGCCCTGCAGAGGGACAAGCGGACTAGAGAGTGAAGTTAAACAGATCAGAAGGCATGTGAACTGCACTGTGATATTAATGGACACGACAAACTTGGCACGTGTTGGCAGATATGCTAATGACAGTGTTACTAGCAGAAAGTGAATAGAGGTTACATGATCTAGTCTTCTCTCTTGTAACCCCCAATAGGGTGCACGCCCATAACCAACTCACGCCAAGTTGTTCTATCCTTCACTATCACGTGCAGCTCTCCCAAATCCTCCCTATCTTTTTAACTTTATTCTCTAGTTTCCTTCCCCATGTGTTTTTGGGCTTCCTTTATTTCTATGCCCCTGTGGGTTCCAGTGCAAAGACATTCTAGCTATAATGTTCTCAGGTTTTCCCAACGTGTGTCCTATCCAACGTCAGCATCCTTTCTTCACCTCATGGTTCACTGGAACCTACATATCTAGTGGAGTTAGTAAATAGGCATAGTAAGACTTGAATCTGTGGTTCCGAAATACCTAAGCCTGCCGACATCTCTTATTTATGAAGGTCTGAAACGGACATTCTTTCCTCTACCCCTGGAATGCCTCGCGGCGTCAGGACAGGAAGAGATCTCTAGGACGGGCCCTTCTGTTTGCTTTGTATAAAGTATTTTCAAGTGTCTGTAATATTTATGTGGTCCATCTTCTGCATGGTCAACCTTTGACATTTTCTTGTTACACCTAGCTTATTACGTAAACTGTATTATAACTACAACAGCAAAAATGGCAGCATTCTCAAGTTCAGGGCTCTTTTTTTTTTTAATGATATAAAAGACCCCTTAAATATATTACAACAAATGGGAACACTTAAATACTATGATAATGAACAATAGAAAGGAACAACCAACTTGGAACATTGCATTAAATAGAGACATTTTAGAACAAGTTACAAGTTTCTCTGATCTTGGAAATATAATTACCGATGATGGCCGAATGAAACACCAATCAAAAAGAGAATGGGAATGGGCAAAACATATTCAACAAGTGGCAAATATTAACAACTTATCATCATCATCAGGTGCCTTGCCGAATGGCGTGGGCGATCATGCCTCTCCATAATCCAGGATCTCCTGCAGCATGTATCAGTTCATGTGCTGACACACCTCGATGTTCTATTTTCCCTCTTCTCATAACATGGCTGAAACATGATGACTGTCTCCTTCTGACGTCTGTGATAAATTGTCTTCGGGCTCCCGCCTCTTTCAAAACCTCTTGGTTGCTCTTTTTGGCTGTCCAAGATATTCTAAGCATTCTTCTGTAAAACTACATCTCTGAGGCCTCAAGAAATTGTTTGGCCTGCCTACCGATTGTCCAGGATTCACAGCCATATGTTAAAACTGAATGTATGTAGCAAGCAAGAATTCTTTTTCTAACTCTCAATGACAAAGATATATTGCACAAGATGTTCTTCATTTTATAAAATGCAGTTTTTGTCTGTCCTATTCTGTTTCTTATCTCAGTAATGCATCTTCCATCTGATGTTATCCAAGTGCCCAGATAGTTAAATTTCTGTACAAGGGCAAAAATAAAGGCAAAAGAGCAACAGGGATACAAGTGAGAGGATAAAACCAAGGGATGGACTAACAGCAGTCTGAGAAAGAGTCCAGCAGGGGTGGGCAACCTGTTTTGGTCCACAGACAAACTTTATTTTGTGCCCAACCTGATCGCAGGCCATGTTGAAAAAATTCACAGAAGAAAAACACCCAGATTTCCTCACAACATGATATGATTTTTTGTGTGTGTTTCACTAGCAGGATTTGGCAACATCAGTTTCTGGTTATCACTCTTTAGGTTATCACTTTTCTAAATGTTGATAATTGGATTTTTGTTCTTTCTGGGAACAAACGTATGTTTTTGTGTTCTCAGCTTAAGCATCAGAATATATAGTAATTTGACATCAGCTTCGCGGGCCATTAAAAACTGCTCAGTGGACCATAATTTGCCTCAACCTTGGATGTACAACCAAGGCAAGACACTGAACCATGATCAAGTCTATAAATGGTTGGCTGGCGGTCTATGCTTCACTGAAGATGACCGAAGGTCACACACAAACAAGACAAGCAGGAGGAGGAGAAGAAACAGAAGATGAAAGATTATCAGTGGGAAGGATAAGGAGTAAAAACTTACAGTTTCGGTCAAAGCCCCTGTCACGAAAATCCCTGTCTCTCTGGAAAACAGAAGCCAGAAAAATTATAAAAATTAGAACAATGGCATCAGATTCATTTGCTAACATCAATCGTTTTAGTCAGAGGCAAAAAAAAAAATTCTATTTAACTCATTATCAAAATACAGCAGGTACTTTGCAGAATCTACTTTTATCACAGCTACTACTAATGTCCATTAACAGCCCAACCTTAATCCCTCTGCCGTGTGCATATTCATCCCCAAAGTGTCTGCAAATACCTGTCTGTGAAACTGCCGATGTAAGACTGTCTAGCAGCAGTGATCATTCCACAGTTCACAACTGTGAAACTGTAAAGATGAAACCAGAAGTTCTATTTCCTCTTCGGAATTACATTTCTTTTTTTTTTGCTTATGATTTAGTTCTCTAGTGTTCAGATCTTGCAGAATGTTAGTTGCATCCTCTTCATGATTGATTGGTTTTCTAAGATCTGTTACAAACATTGAAGTTCACAAGCCCTGATTTTCTACATCCCAGCAAAACAGTCCATGACACACACACCATCCTCTGGTGATTAAGGAAAAATGAATGGTTTTAGAATAATGTATTTTTTCCCAGCAGTTTGATGCAGTGACCGCCTCTTATCTCCCTTCCTAAACTGAATGTGGTATCACATGCAAGGCTTTCTATATAAGTCATCCGTTTGCTGTCATTATCAAAACCCAGGGGACTCTTCTCCTTAAAATTGACAATGAAAAAACTCATGAACTACACACACACACACACACAAATGAATGTTGAATTAAGAACCAACATTACAGCACTTGGAACACTCCAATAAGCATTGCATCCCTATCTTCAGCAGCAAGCCAAGAGTTCCAATTCTGACGGTACCAGTAACTGTCTCGCTGTTCCCTTGAGTAAAATGAAAAATGAGGACAGATGGATGGATTTTTGGGTGTTGAACCACCTCTTACAGAGCATCAGGGCCAGTGCCCATACTTGTCAAGATCTATCCACATCCCTCTACTGTCATCCTAGAAACAGGTTATCCCCAACTGGGGCGTGGATCCTGTTTATAGGATCCGCATTGCCATCAAAATCAGGAACATTCTGCCTGAAAGGTGAGCAGCTGACAAGCTGCAGACAAATAATCCCAACCTAAAAAAACAGAAGCGCACAGAAAACTCCTTAAACAAGACTTCAATTAGACCAACCGACAGCTCTGACTTTCTACCCAAGTATACAGCTAGTGACCACAAAGAAGAAGAAAAAGGCTTACTCCTGTGAAGAGTTAACATGAGGCAATGAATTCTGTTCAATGTAAACAACTGAAAATGATAACTTCTTACCCTGTCTCTATCCGGAAAGTCCCGGTCTCCCCCACGCCGAAACCGATCTGAGCGATCAAATCGTCTGTCCCGATCGCCGCGATCCCTGTCCCATTCAGATTCCCTGACATCTCTGTCCCGGTCCCGGACGACATCTCTCTCCCACTCTCGTTCTCTGTTCCAAGCAAAGTCTCGCTCTCTGTCTGGTTCACGTTCCCGGACATCCCGATCATCAAAGCGCTCCCGTAGGCCGGAGTAATCCCGGCTATTTTCCCTGTCGATCTGGATTCTGCCACTGCCGATTTTTCTGACAGGTCTGTCCCTGTTGTAAAATGAAGAATGATGCCATCTAAAAATCAAAACAGGACAGTGACATTCTAGTTCTTGGACTTGAAGGTAAGGAGAAGCTGCACAAGAAGAGATAAATGCCCCAAACTACGCGTGGAATTTTGAATTACAGCTGCACAAATTTCACCCCATGTAATGTAATGCAAACCTAGAGTTTAAAACCACATCCCAAATGATGAGGTTTGCCGAATTTTTACCCAGCACATTGGCAACTATGAACCTCTTTTAACTACAGTGAAAAGGCAGAAAAGGCAATGGTACGGACATGTAATAAGATCTAACTGCCTCTCAACAAAAATACTACAGGGCTCAGTAGAGGGGAAGAGGCAGACCATGAAAGACCTGGTTAGAGAACTTTGAGTGACTGGACAGACCTGACCTCAGGCACACAAACATGAGGTCCATCACATCTGACCATCAAAGGTGTTCTGCATTCATGGTTAAAAGAGCATTTGTGTTGAGATTTACAGCTAGGCTGCAACTTCTGTCTCTATCAGCCCCAACACATTCAGTTTCAGCAAAGCTTCTACTACTCACCTTTTACTACATTTTTGTGGGGAAGGGGTGAGTCTCTTCTCTGCGCCCTCTACTGGGGCTTCAGAAGAACAACACGGGACACATAGGGGCATTCTAGTTTTAACCCTACTATCAGTTATTTATCTTTAAACTCAGATGCAGCTTCTCCGTACATATTTACAGGCACACAAAAAGTAAGCAGGAAAACATGCACTAAAAACATGTTCCTGGTTTAGCTGTGCAAGAAGCTGTGATGAACAGCAAGAAATTACAGAAAAGTTTACCATTTTTTAAGGTTTTTCAAAATTTTTCAAAACCTGATGTGCCAGTTTTAACTCCTTTGCCCCGAGAAGCACCAAAACAAGCACTTCTGGTACTTGCCTTGCGCCCGTATATGCCACTTAACCGACCTGACCATACTGACTTGTTCTGCAAGAATCCTTGCTAAGAGTACTGACCCCATTTGCACATATGCTGATGTTTGAAAGAACTGCCAATGGCTAATTATGAAAAATAGCATTTGTGGGTGAGTTTTTTTGGGTGATAAACTGGCTTTATTGGTAGAAAATACAGTTTCATGATTTCACAGTGGTCCCCAGCGACCGGGTTAAAAATTAGTAACAGTATTAAATTTATTTAACCTGAAAGATGTAACCAAGTTGATTCTCCGCTGCCCTGATTACCCAGTTTCATCAGTGTGTAATTTTGTTTGTTTATGTCCAAAAATGTAAATGCTAAGAAATGTTTTTGTCTGGGATGGGGGGGGGGGGGGGGGGGGGGGGGGGGGGCTCAATTTGCATGCTGCGTCTCAAATCTAATATACTTCTTTCGGTCCTGTTCTCTATCCTTGTCACAAGACTCATCCTTGTTGAGCTTCCTAATTATATTCTGTGCTGAGCTCCTTTAGAATTCCATTGAGAGTTTAAGGCTGAGGAAGATATAAGGCCCTGCTTCGTGCTCTTCTGGCTGCTTAGACCATAGACACTTTGTGGTGCTGTAGAGTTTCTATGATGTTATCTTCCCATCTTGTTCTTGCTCTACCTCTTGTTCTTTGTCCCTCTCTTCTTTTGGTACATGCCTTGTATGGTGCAGCATCAGAAGGCATTCTCTCCAAGTGGGCAAACCGTTTGATTTGCTGTCTTTCTATGTAATTTAGAATTGGTTCTGTGCCAACTTTATCTTGTATGGCCTCATTTATGATTTTATCTCTTCTGGTCACTCCTAGTATTTCTCAGACACCTCATTTCCATGGTTACTAATTTTCGTTTGTTTTGTTTGTGAGTGACCATGTCTGGCACTGACCGCACATGGTGGGAATCAATATGCTTTGTATAAGGTGTTTCTTTGTGCTGATTGGGATTGTCTTATGCTGTAAGAGAGGGTGGGGGGAAGGGGGGGGGGGGCTAGCTGTTCCAATATCTGGCCTGCTTTACTGCATTGGTTGTCATTGTCTTCGTCCAGTCCAATTTACCATCTTCAGTGACAGTTCTTCCTGTTGTGTTGAAATGTTAACATATCCCAATCACGTTCTTTATCCTTGTCACAAGACTCATCCCTGTTTAGCTTCCCAGTTATATTCTGTGTATGGGCTCCTTTAGTTTTCACTTGGGGGTTTAGGGGTAGAAGACAAAAGACTTTACCTGCTGTGTCTAAATGCTAACCTGTCTCGGTCCCGTTCTCTGTCCTTGTCGCGGGACTCATTACTCTCGGGCACAGTCAGCTGTCGAGTGAACACGGTGGTTGTCTGAACATGGCAGCCGGTGCCAAAACTGCGCCTCTGGGGACTCAGAACGATCCCATCCCGCTCTTCCTTCAGACGCTCCACGGGGTCGTTGACTGCTGAAATTGGGCATGTACACAGACAAAATATTACATGTCACATCACAAACATGTGATTTATGTCACATCACAAACATGTGATTTATACATGGCATCTTCAACTGATGACAGTATGTTCCATGGGACATCATTGGAATTAATATTTCTTAACATTTTGTTTATTCAAATAGATTTTAATAACTGTACACAAAACACAAAAATTCAGTTTATGTACACATAATTAGACCCCACTGCACTTCTTCTTAATGTTCACTTGCTGTAAATTCCGGTGGAAAGTTCTGGTTGTTCATCCACCTCCAGACTTTGGACTTGTTCCAGAACCTGAGTGTTGCGTGCATATTTGTTTTACAAATCAGATTGTTGGTTCCTTGTCTCTCAGGCAGATGCACTATAACTTCTAAGGACACACCCCCCCCCCCCCACCCACCCAGTAATAAGTTGACTCTTATGACATGCTTGTTGGGGAAGCAGTAGGTCTATTCTTGTTTTCCCCCACAATGAGACACGGAACCCACATGGGGTTCTCTAGGGGAACACACATGGAGTTCTCTAGGGGAAATCACATGGGGTTCTCTAGGGGAACACACATGGGGTTCTCTAGGGGAACACACATGGGGTTCTCTAGGGGAACTCACATGGGGTTCTCTAGGGGAACCCACATGGGGTTCTCTAGGGGAACACACATGGGGTTCTCTAGGCAACAATTCTCGGAACTTTCTAATCCTAAAAATTAAGTTTTCTTCTTTATTAAGTATGTTTTATTGACTTGTTTTGTTGTGGTTGTAAGTGTGGTTGGTCGTAAGTCGCAAGTCAAGAAGAAGGTGTAGTGTGCAAATGTATCAACTGCTGAGAAGCTTAATTTTGTTTAAATACTTTTCTACTATTTTTATAAACAGTATATTTTTAGCCCTTTAGTGATGTTGAAAAAGGTTTGCTGACAATGAATATGTTAGGTCAAAGGATGAAGATACTGCAGCTTAATTGTAAACCACAATACAGTATGCCCATTGTCCTTTTGAGGGCAATCATAGAAGAAGCTTTAAACAACAGTTATAAAACATGTGATGAGCGTAATATACTGGACACATCATGTGGAGAAGCAGACCCAGAATCAGCAAACAGGCACTGCAATAAGAAACTTCTTCTTGGCATTCAACGGCTGTAAACTCTGGCAGAACGTTCTAGTTATTCATCCATTTATGGGTCTTGCTTCAGAACTTGAGCTTTGCATACACACCAAATTTACAGATCTGGCTTAATTTTTAAGCTGATAGTTCCTGGCTTCTCAGGCAAATGCACTCTGACTTAAAAGGGAACTTCTAATTCATCTATTTTTTCAACATGCTTAATTGGGGTGGGGGAGTGTTGCGTGCATATTTGTTTTACAGATCAGATTGTTGGTTCCTTGTCTCTCAGGCAGATGCACTATAACTTCTAAGGACACCCACCCAGTAATAAGTTGACTCTTATGACATGCTTGTTGGGGAAGCAGTAGGTCTATTCTTGTTTTCCCCCACAATGAGACACGGAACCCACATGGGGTTCTCTAGGAAACACACATGGGGTTCTCTAGGGGAACACACATGGGGTTCTCTAGGGGAACACACATGGGGTTCTCTAGGGGAACACACATGGGGTTCTCTAGGGGAACACACATGGGGTTCTCTAGGGGAACACACATGGGTTCTCTAGGGGAACACACAGGAGGTTCTTAGGGAACACAACATGGGTTCTCTAGGGGAACTCCACATGGGGTTCTCTAGGGGAACACACATGGGGTTCTCTAGGGGAAACCACCACATGGGGTTCTCTAGGGGAACTCACATGAGGTTCTCTAGGGGAACACACAATGGGGTTCTCTAGGGGAAACACACATGGGGTTCTCTAGGGGAACAACATGGGGTTTTTCTCTAGGGGAACACACACATGGGGTTCTCTAGGGGAACACACATGGGGTTCTCTAGGGGAAACACACTGGGGTTTATCTAGGGGAACACACATGGGGTTCTCTAGGGGAACACACACCCACAGGGGGTTTTCCTTTTAGGGAAACACACATGGGGTTCCCCCTTTGGGGGAACACAAGGGGGTTCTTTTTTAGGGGAACACCCCCGGGGGTTTTCCCCTAGTGGAACACACATGGGGGTTTTCCTGGGGGAAACCCCACATGGGGTTTCTAGGGGGACCTCCCAGGGGGGTTCTCTGGGGGGAAAAAAACAATTCTGGGGAACTTTTTTAATCCAAAAATTAAGTTTTTCTTTTTTTTTTAAAGGGTTTTTTTGTTTTTATTTTTTTTTTTCTTTTTTTTTGTTGTGGTTGTAAGTGGGGTTGGTCGAAAATCGCCATCAAAAGAAGGTGTAGTGTGCAAATGTACAACTGCTGAAAAAACAAATTTTTGGTTTAAATATTTTTTTATTTTTTTATTTTTATAAAACAGTATTTTTTTAAAAATTTTAGTAATTTTTTTTGAAAAAAGGGTTTTTTTTTCCTTTGCAAGGGAATAGGTTGGGTTAAAAGATAAAAAATACTGAAAAAGTTTAATTGAAAACCCACAAAAACATTAGGCCCCGGGGCCCCTTTTGAGTGCAATCATAAAAAGTTTTAAAACAACATTTATAAAACTGGGGTGAGGCGTAAATCCCTGGACACATCTGGGAGAAGCAGACCCCAGAATCAAAAACGGGGCACGGCAATAAAAAAAACTTCTTTTTGGCTTTCCAAGGCTGTAAACTCGGGCCCAAAAGTTTAGATTCATCCCTTTTAGGGTCTTGCTTCAAAAACTTGAGTTTGGCATACAAAAACCCAAATTTAAAGATCTTGGTTTAAATTTTTTTAAGCTGTGTTCCGGCTTCTCAGGGGCAAATGCATCTGATTTAAAAAGGGAATTAAAAATTCATCTATTTTTTTAAAACATGTTTAAATTTGGGGGGTTTTGGGGGTGGGGGGGGGGGGGGGGGTGCCCCCCCCCCCCCCAACCCATCCAAGAAGGGGGAAACAAATTGCCCGGAGAAAAAAAAGGAAAACCCCAAGAAAAACCATAAAAAAAAAAACCGAAAAAGGGGCCCCAAAGAGGCCCCAATAGGATTCCGCCATGAATAAAAAAAAAAAGGACTGAAACAGCCGTAGAACAGAAGGGAGTCCCCATTTGAAAAGCCGGGGTGGGGATAGACAAAAACGGGACATTACAAAAAAAAGGGACAAATGAACCTTCCTCAAAAAAACGCTTTCCTTTTTCCCATACCGAGGAAAGCCCCCAAAACGTTCCCAGTCTCTTTATTTGATACACTTTTTGATTTATTTTTCCTACCCCCATTCCTTAAAAAAACCCAAATTTTTTTAAAAACCAGTTTTTTTTACTATAAAGCACCCTATTTTCAAAAAAACCGTGTCTTCAAGCTCGGGAAAAAGGTTATTCGAAAGGAGGGGAAAATTTCATTTATGTATTTTTCCTTTGGGAATATACATTATGTATTTTTAAATTTTAAAAAAAACATGGGGAAAGAAAGAGGGGGACAGATGATCTA